GTGGTTATAGATCTGATGTATGGGCTACTCTAGGTAAAGGTGTGAAAGAGGGGATGAGTCAAAAATTGGAATTCATTGCTCCAAATAGAAATAACAATAAGGTTATTGCGAAGGGGTGTAAGGATGAGTTTCAGAAAGTAATTGAATATTGACATCCTTCTTTGATTTGTTATATTCTGAGAGCAAATCCACCTTTCTATGTGGTCAATGTGTATCTTCGTAAAATTTGGGGGAAGTATGGGGTAGTGGATAATGTGGTCAATGTGTATCCACCTTTCTGCTATTGGATAATGGCGTATATGTGGTAAGGTTTAATTCCACTACTGCTAAGGATGATTTCTTGAGTCAAAACATATTTCATTTTGATTATAGACCACTGATAGTGAAAGAGTGGTCAGTGGAAAAGGGATTTAAACTAGAGGATGTCAAATAGGTACCCATTTGGATTCAGTTTCCTAAACTACAGCCTAAATACTGGAATGCCAAGACTTTAAGTTGAATATTCAGCACAATTGACAAGTCGTTGGAGATGGATGAGATGACGATGATGAGGACTAGGACAAGGTTTACAAGATTTCTAGTAGAAGTGTCCATTTCAGACAAGATGCCCCATGAATTGTGGTTTGAAGACGAATTTGGAGTAGTACAGGAACAAAAGATGAGATATTAGTGGCTTCCGGTTCAGTGTTTGCAATGCAAGGGTTATGGCCACAAAACAGCAACCTGTAGGAAACCAATAACACCAACCTGGGTGCCAAAAGCCAAAGAGGTCACATGGAAGAACACTAATGGGGAACAGAAGAATTCTGAGAAGCAGACAGAGAATCTAACAGTACTTAAGGAACATCAAGAATTATTAAAGCAATTCCTCAATTTGCTCTAACCATTGATCTGATAGACAAAGCTCTAGGAGGAGTTACCAGACAACTAAGAGCAGGCAAACAAGTGATGCAAGTAAATGAGAAGGTACAAGTTGGCGAGATCAGAAGTTCCGATAAGATTAAGGAGATTGGGAAAGGAAATTACCATGGTACTAGACCCCCTAATTTAGGGGCTAGGGATCATGAGTAATTTACTAAGCTAGAATGTAAGAGGACTTAACAGTCCCCTGAAACACAGTGAGATAGGTCACTATCTCTCTGTTAATGAAGTAGGATTAGCTGGGCTACTTGAAACGAAACTATCAGGAGAAAAAGTAGAAGAGTTAATGAGAAACAAATGGAAAGACTTTGATCATGTCAACAACCATAAGAATGCAAGAGAGGAGAGAATAATACTACTGCAGAAAAAAAAGGGGGATTATAAAATTAGCAAAGTGTCAGTTCAAGATGTCTATAACAGGCACTTTGATCTAACTGTGGTCTACGTGGATCATCAAGCACAGGGACGTTCTTCTTTATGGAATGGTCTACTAGCCAAAGCAGGGATAAGTAAAGCTTGGTTAGTCATAGGGGACTTCAATTGTGTACTACAACCAGAGGAAAAACAAGGGGGAGATACAGATATGTTTAAGCTGGTAATTGAGCAATGTGGTTTAGTAGAGATGAAGACTCAAGGCAACCAATTCACTTGGTGTAATTAACAAACAAATAGGTGAGACCAGAATTTCTTCTAGGCTTGATAGGGCACTCATCAATGAAGCCTAGATCGATAACTTCCCTAAAACAGTTACTTGGGTGAAACAGGCTAATGTCTCAGACCACTGCCCTTTACTTATCAAGTGGGGAGTACAACATGGGGTAAAAAAAATAGAGCTTTTAAGTTTTATAACATGTGGATCCATCATCCAGGTTATAAAGCAGCAATGAAAGAGGGGTGGAACACAGTTGAAAAGGATTCATTGCAATACCAGCTGGTCAAGAAGCAGAAAAATCTCAAGGGAAAGTTGAAATACCTCAACCGAAAACAATTCAATGACATTGAATTGCAAGCTGAGAATAAAAAAGTAGAGCTGGAAGAAACTCCATATTTCTTGCAAATAGACCCTAGAAATGTCTGCCTGCAAGAGAGGGAGCAGCAGTGTGGCAGAGAATATTTGGAACTGAGTAAAGTAATTATGGCATACTCAAAGCAAAGACTCAAGGAAAAATGGACTCAGAAGGGCGATATCAACTCCAAGTATTTCCACGCCTGTGTGAAGCAAAGGAGAATGCCGAACAGAATACTAGCTCACGCGGACCACAATGGTAATCTAGTGGATGAATGGCATAAGGTACAACAACACTTTCTTGATTATTTTATCAACGTGTTAGGTATAGCAACTTCTAGGATCTCAGCTGACTGTGAGGCTCTTAGTTCAGGGATTAAATTGACTGTGTATTAGTAGACTCTCCTGATAAAGAGCTTCACAAAAGCTAAGATCAAAGAAGAATTATTTCATATTGATGTTAATAAATGTGATGGCCTGGGTGGGTTTAATAGTGGTTATAGATGTTCATGGGTATAGTGGGGGAAGATCTTTGTAGTGTTGTCTTAGAATTGTTTTTCAATATGGTAAGTGTTAGACCCTTTTGAACTCTCTAGCAGAAAAAGGGACCTAGTTGGCGTGGAATTCCCTTAGATCGGAAACCACCAGCCCGCTAGAACACTCAAAGGCAGCGGAAGACTTTGTTCTAGCAACGAAGCAAAAGTAAATTGACAAGTATAAACGTTTAAAGAAAAAGGCAGCAATCAAATGATGGGCGATAGCCCCGAACCCAAGGTAATTCATACACTTTATCACGAGTTACAAAGGATTCCATCCCACAAAGAGACTATCTAACACTTAGGAATTTCTATAACCCCTTTGTGCTCACAACCGGAAAACTAGTCTACACACTAATTCTCCCCAAAACCTGACCACCAGATTCTCTCCCCTAAATACAAGTGTTAACAAGTATTTATAGGCTCGTGATTGACATCCCCAATCACCTAGGATCCAATTAATAAAATTGAAACGGTTACAATTTAAATTACAAGCCCATCTACCACTACTTGTAACCGCCAGCAACCGTCCACCACCTGATGCACATGATCTCTTGCAGGCCTCAACATTTTCCCGCCGAAGATTGAAATTCAACCTGCCAAACGTGCATTATTTTTGAGAATAAGTTATAGGCAAACTTAAACCTTCTAACAGTAAGCTTCTAAAACTAGTTAAATACCACCCAAATTTGCCTGATTCTAAAAAATAAGGAGACTATAGTTCAATTGTCGAAAAAATTGTTGCTAGATTAAAATGCTGGTCCACAAGACATCTCAAATACACTGGAAGACTAGTTTTGATGAATTCGGTGTTGCTGAATCTTCATTCCTATTAGACAGGTATTTTCTTGCTCCCAAAAATCTGTTATTAAATAAATAGAGAGGTAATGTAGAGACTTTCTTTGGGTAAAAAAAGAATCAGGCAGAACCCAGTCACTAGTGTTCTGGAATGAAGTTTGTAAAAATGAGGGAGAAGGTGGATTACACATCAAACTTCCTGAGCTTCAGAACCAATCCATAGTTGGAAAGCAAATCTGGAATATAGCTCAAAGGAAAAAAAAAAAAAGCTTATGGATCAGATGGATACATGAATACTATTTGAAAGGCAAAACCATCTGGGAGTACTTGCACCAAAGGATTGTGGTTGGCATTGGAAGAAACTCTTACAAGTAAAAGAAAAGCTAAAATCATGCACCCAAATGCTCTATGGTTAGGACAAAAGAGAAACAGATCCACAGCAAAAGGAGGCTACAATTGGCTAAGGGGATCTACTGAAAAATAGAGAGTGCATCTGTTTTGGTTTGGAGCTCCTATAATGTTCCCAAGCACTGCTATATCACTTGGCTGGAACTGAATAACAGATTGGCAACTCAGGATAGACTTAAACAGCTTAACTTGTTCCATAGAGCTGAAAAATGTGAACTGTGTGACATGCAGGAAGAATCCAGAGATCACTTGCCTTTCAAATGTCCCTTCTCACAGGAAGTTGTAACAAAGCTAATGCATTGGATGGGTTTATCCCATTGAGAATCCCAGTCCCACATTGGTACTGGGAAAGACTGAATATCAATATAAAAGTACATGGGCTACTCTCATCATTGTCAATTGGTTTTTGAGGTGGAACCCCATGAGTTTCTGTACGGTATCAGAGCCAGCCCACTGACATTCGGACTCCAAAAAGCCCAACAAAAAAATAGGGCTGAGACGTGAGGCGGTGCTTGAGCTGAAAAAAATAGGACAAGCCCAACTCAAAAAATACGTTAGGCTTACGGGGGAGTATTAAAGAGTCTCAATTCCACATCGGTGTTGGGAAACTCTAAGTATCAATATATAAGTTCCATGGGCCACTCCCCTCATCGCCAATTGGTTTTGAGGTGGAACCCCACGGGCTCTGTATGGTATCAGAGCCAACCCGCCGACATTCAGACTCCAAAAAGCCTAACAAAAAATAGGGTTGAGACTTGAAGCGGTGCTTAGGCTAAAAAAAATAGGACAAGCCCAACCCAAAAAAATACGTTGGGCGGAGAGTATTGAGAATCCCAGTCCCATATTGGTTTTGGAAGAGAATGAATATCAACATAAAAGTACACGTGCTACTCCCCTTATTGCCAATTGGTTTTTGAGGTGGAACCGCATGAGATTCTATATATTCCTGAGCATAAGAGACTTGGAGTATTTTGTCAATCGCCTTTTAAGAACATGGAGGTATTAGAAAGTTAAGCAGAGATTGTTGTTTGCTGTGATTAGTGCCTGTATTTACCACATATGGGCTGAGCATAATGGAAGGAAGTTGCAGCAGAGGAGTCTAACAGTGGAGGATAGAGTTCGAATTATCAAACAGGAAGTATCTTGGAAGATACAATCTTCTTGTAAAAAGAGTAGACCAGTAGAGTTAAATTATTTGGCCCACTTGGGCATATTTGTTGCCTAGTAAATTTGTGTAAATAGTTAACGGGTTGTAAAGACGGTGATATAAATAACTTGGCCCACTTGGGCATATTTGTTGCCTAGTAAATTTGTGTAAATAGTTAAAGGGTTGTAAAGACGGTGGTATAAAACTTTACCATAGAAATGAAAGGACATGAGATTAAGCTGTTAAATCTAATTATCAAGGCATGAGTTACAGTTCACGTACAAATGCATGCATCATACATGATTGAATCACAAACAGCATAATAAGCACTCGATGTTACGTTTCTCCAGAGATTATAACTATGACTGTTGCTAGTAAGGCGAGGATTGGAAGTTATACAAGAGGAAGAACAACACAGCTACAAGTACAAGTCCCCATTGACCACATCCATCCGCAAAAATAAACCGAAGCGCGAGAAAAACCGCAAAAAGCAGCGCGCAACCCCATCCATGTTCATCACTCGAGTAATTGCCTTGATGAACTCCTCCTCTCCCATTGAAGAATTCAAAACTAGGCACCCAAACACTCAGCACATATATGATCGCAATCAGAAGAAGAGGGCCAAGGAACATCTTGGAAACAGTGTAAGCAACCAGGACGATGGCGAGGGGAAGAACGAGCGACTGAGTGACTTGATGAACTACCAGGAGGACGACGATTGGGATGACTAAAAGGAGGGTGAAAGCCGAGTCTTCTGCATCCGAGACAAATGAGATGTCTTCGAGAAATGAGCGACCGTGGAGCAGAAAGCTTAGGGTTCCCACTAGTAGTAATGGGATCAAAGGAGATGGCCCCGAGTTCATTTACGTATTCTCTGGTGAAAAATGGAAGATACTAATTCAAGAATCTTGTTGGACCCTTTGCAGATTAAAGTATTTCCTTCGAAACCTTCGAGCAGGATTGGATAATTTCAACTATTCAAGATAGGAATGAGGCTGAAACTAGAGGATTTTGAGAAGGGCTGACAGTGATTCTTCCTTGTACTTGCAGAGAATCTGCATGGTTAATTAAGAATCATGTTTTTTTTTTCCAGGAGATATATTTAACTAATAGAGTGTATCTGAGGGTAGTTACAAAGTAATGATTTTTTTAATACACTCGAATGGGAATAATTCTAAATGAGTGGCTGTTTTCAGTTCACCAACTCAGTGATCGTTTGGTGGTGCTAGTTCAGATTGGTTATGTAAGCTTCAGCTAATTAACCAAGAAAGGAAAAGAAGATGTTGACATGATCAAGGAAAAATTATGCTTGGCACTGAAATTTTGAGAAGGTTGGATATGAGAAAGAATGACTTAACAATGAACAAGTGATGCAAATTTTTTCCGCCTTAAATAAAGCAAGTTGGTGCTTAATAAACGTGAAGGGTGAAGCTTAAATCATGCTTAAAAGAAGAGAAGAAAAAATAGAAGCAATAAAGGGATTAAAGCTAATCAAACCCTATCGTACAAGACATATTACAAACGCCAAATATTGTTACTTGGAACTTTGTAAAACTTGGTTTTTCCTTTAATCAAAGCACGAGTTTCGTGGGGTGAAAAACAGACATTGTAGCGTGAATATTGACAATTGGTAGTAAAGCGACCGGAAAAGCTTGAGGCAACTTTTAAACAAAGTGGTCTACAACGTCCAAATTTTGTATGACCATTTGGAAAACTATTATGTTTTCTTCGGTATAGAATATACCCAGTGTAATGTAAAATTGAATTTTGATGGTCCTTTCGGAAGTTTACGAATTCTTGTTGATCATCAGTATCTGTTTCTAACATAATGTTTAATTACAGAAACAACTTTTACCGTGATCTCTTTTTCTCTTTTTTGGCTAACTCTAATGTAACCATTCACAAATGTAAATATTCCTTACTTTAAACTCCAAGCAAGCCTTATTTCCCTGCAGCTTTAAAGAGTTTACGCAAGATATTCCCGTTATCTTATATCGAACAGTACTATATTGTTGCTTAAATTTTTCTATAGTATTTAATAGGGTTTGAAGTAATAAAATAATTTTAGTTATATAATTTATGCAGCATCAGCCACCAGCAATAACATAATTTCCAGTTACAACCGTGTCAAATTGAACCCGGTAGAGATCAAACACAATCATAGACATACAGATTAAACAATGGGTTGGTGATTCTCAATTTTATTCAACATTTTGTAAGGATACTTTGTTGCGGAAGTGCTCCAGTTTCCATTTAAGATATGCTTCTCACCTCGTACTCGTGAGTTATCCTCAAAGGTGATTGATTTGAAACAGGCCTTTGCTCAGACCAAAGCTCCAGATTTACTGTCCCAGTTCCCCAGTGTACGAGACACTTGTAGACTTCATTTTTGTTGAACCGATTCACCAACTCCAATCCAAGACATTTGTCAACAAGCATCCACTCTCCTGTACCAGAATATAAAGGAGCAGAAGATTCAAGCAAAAATTTAAAAAGGGTATAAGTAAGAGTGAGCAAAGTATGTTCAGATCACTTTTCTGGAGGAAAATCTAGCCATAAAATTTGTGCCACGAATATGATCAAATGGAACAGATATTCATCTTCAGTAATGCTAGATACCTTGATCAGCCGATTGTATAATTTGCTTAAGCATAAATTATCATGATTACATCAGCTATTATAATAATACCTCAAAGCAAGAAACCATGTTGCAGAAGTTGGTTATCAATTACCATTTGATATCATGGACAAATGAACTTCTTAAGCAACTCCATATAATCACCAAAAACTTAGCTGTTCAAGAACTGCAGTTTTTTTACCTTGTAAGTGGGATGCATATAGTTTTCCACGAATGGAGCAATAGGATTAAAGTAGACTCTTAAATCTCCACAATCTTTAGAATACTATAATAAGTTACAAATCAGATCCCTGAAACTTTAACTCAGTTCAATTCTAAGAATGCTGCTGATAAAGATCTAGTCTAGTGTGATTCAAGATTGTACTGAGAAATGATAAGAAAATAAACTCAAAAAAGTTCTACAAAATCTTTGAGATCTTAGTTCACTTCAAAGGAAAGCAATACACTTCATTAATTTTAAATCCAGAAACTCAAAAGGCTCTCCCAGTCAATAGTTACGGATAAACAATCAAAGAGAGTATCAAAGCTCTTACCATCTGGTAGGAGATCCCCTTCAAAGTACTGCTCCCCAGACTCTGGCCAAAGTTCATGCTTGGAACCATCAACAGAGGTAAAGACCACATATGATTCACTTGGATGGAGCAATGAAAAGGTAGGATGCACACGCAAACATACGAGCCTAATAAGAAGTAAGATTATTACAAATTAAGTGGAGTGAAGGAGTGCAGTACTATCTGGACTTTATACCATAAAGTTGTACTATCTGGACTTTATACCATTAATTTTAGAAATGCAGAAAAAAGGTGTAATTCACAGAACTAAAGAATCAAGACACCAGAAGGATTTACAATACCACATTAGGTGGCATAGGTTTTGTTCCCACAGTTAAACCTGGTATTCCTTTCCAAAGACTCTAAGGTTGAGCTTTCAAATTAAGTAAACAAATTATTGCATATTGTACGTAAGAAGAGCATTAATAAGGAAATTCTTAGGGTCTCTCCCTATTCTCCATTGTTTTAGGTCCTAAAAACACGTTCTTCCAAGGGTTATATCCCTTTTACTTACTCTTACTTTCTCAAATATAATGGACAGGAGTATATTCAACAACACTACTGGAAATGTCATATTTCATGTAAGATTCCATATGATAATGTATTCTACTATCAATTGACATCACAAATTGAAAAAACAAAAGGTCTCAGTTTGACCATGAGGCAATACTTTTCAAACAGCTCTTCAAAGAGAATCGAGAAAAAGACACAATGAAAATTGTACAACATGGCAAATAGGAAATTGGAATTTTCCACTTCTCCAACTGGTATCCATATCCCAAAGGCACTTATCATTATCTACTTGATTGCAGTTAGAATCAAATTAGAAAAATTTTCTTTTCACGTCTCCAACCCAAAAAACGCCTCCAAAGTCAGGCTTTCTAAATTCAGTAATTCAATTGAGATAAAAATTAATAAATTAAAATAACATATGAGGATCAATTGAACAAGATCTAAGTGTTATACATTGTAATTGACTAAGAGGAAACAATTTCACAGAACAACTGCTCTGCATAATCAAAGTAGAACAAAAATAAAAGTTAATACCAATATGTGGACCAAATTGACTTGTTAAAGTTTCTCGAAACTTGTTGCACAAAAAAAAAAAAAAAAAGTTTCTCGAAACTTAATTGAATGACTCACAGGCTGGCCTTTTTCAAAACAAAAAAAAAAAAAACTCACAGGTTGGCAAGAAGAGAGAAACTCCAGCAATTAACCAAAGACCCAAAAGCTTGTATTCCAAATAGAGTTTCATGTATGAAAAGTGGACTATTGTAGCATCTTTAGGCATTTACATTAATCTAAACCGGATTAGATAGCTTCTATATGGACAGAGCACAATGCCTGTAATATTGATCATATTGCTGATCGCAAAGAATGGCATAAGAGCTAAGTTGTTGCTGTTGCATTTAAGTCTTATCCTTGGATCAGCAGTACTCCAAAAATTGAGCGAGTTCAGTACAAAGGACATTAATTTTCATTAACGAGGCATCTTGTTAAATGATAACATGTTTACAATGATGGGAAAAGAATTAGATCAAACCTTGAATATCCTCCTGATCCTGCACCTACTTTCCGAGCTACAATGGCAGACTCAATCTGGAAAATCTTGGGGTTATTTTCAGGGACAGATATTTCCCGCGCAAGAACTAATCCACCTCCAATTTCAGCTTCAAGTTTAAGAGACTCCACTTGCCCTGCCTGCTCCAGATCCCGGCTAAAAAGGAACAACATACCAAAAATGAAATTTGGGAAATTTTAGTTACCATGTTATAGAACTAAGTGAAATTTTATAAAATAAAAATGAAAAAATAACTATCTTCCATTACTTTGTTGAGGATCAGTTCAGAACAATACAACATTCTTACCAAGAAAAAATATCAAAAGTTCAACTTATACAGTAACAATCCACAGAGAGGTCAATGAAATTTGACCCCCTTCTACAAATATATAGGGACAGACTAATAAAAAAGTTCAACTGCCTCAGCAAGAGATAGAGATTACATGAGTAAAAGACAGATCAATGAATTAGCCATACACCATGCAACTAATGATGTGCCAATCATAAACTGTCAATCCCAATTTATAGTTTTTCCAGAGTTTAGTTGTTGAAATTTTCCATTCATAACTACCACGGTTGCCAAGCTAGAACAACAACTAATCGTTTGTGGTGATTAATACGTCACATCCTGTAGAGCATCCTATTTGCAGAACGGTACTTCTAACCAGAATAAGGTCATCAGGTATTAACTATTTCTTCCTCGGTATTTATCCACACAGCAAGTTGTGTTTCTAAGATGAATGTACCAAGAAAAGAAACACATGCTTAATACATGACAGCAGTAAACAACTGTGCAGTTGTGAATCATTAGATTACTCACTCGAGGACAGAATACTCCTCAGTACATCCAGCTGATCGATATTCAGTCCCAGTATATTCTTCATATCCACTCATCTCAATTCGACTGTGAAGCCACTGAGTTCCTGTCACAGGATCCATGCAATATAAAATGAGGATAACATGATATTATAGGCCAGATTTAGAATAAGGTTGCCCTGATTTAATAAAAGATTGTCAACAAAGGAGGCAGTGAAGTTAGCATAACAATAAGACAGTGTAAGTTGAAAAAGTAGTTTGTAGCTTGTGCAGCTTGGAAGATATAGTACTCCCAACGTCCCATATTAAGAGTCATGTTCGTTGAACTCTTTTTAGGACGAGGGAAGTAATTTTTATGGAAAGGAAAAGTAGGAAAGTCAGAATAGACATTGAAAAGCTTTCAACTACATTCTGGAATGTGTTCCCTTTAACTGAGGGTTCTCTTCATCATCTTACATCCAACAAAAACATTAATGTACAACATATTCAGACTAATGGGAAAGAATGAATAGCCAGTCCTCTGTCTCTAAATATGCTCCACTTCACTGGGCAAATTTCTTTTCATTTTTTTTCTTACTGGGGCTTGGCAAGAGATAAGTACATTTTCCTTTTATCAAGTTGGACACTAATTCGGTAGAATGATTTATACTATATATCATCTGTGCTTGTTCAACGTCTCCTAATGTTTACATAAAAAGCTAATTGACATTGGCTGTTTAATGTTTGTATCAACCATGAACCACATTCCATAATTGAGAACCTTTTCCATTTTTAATCTAGCCCCAGGAACACCGACATAGTTCCATCTTCAGTTATCCATTTCAGTGGAAAGTTCACTGACATATTCCATTACTTTAAGCATCATCAAGTTCCAAGTGAACAAATAACTAAACAGAAAAGGGGCTGGCAACTTACAACACTGACACAATGGAACAAAAGATCTCTATCAAGTATTATTTCCTTCAGATTTACCTAAGTAAATATTTGAGAATTATAAGTTCTATGAACGGTTGATTTAAGTATGTATAGACAAAACCTGCTTCGCATCCCACAGAAAATAAACTAAAAAACTAACATAAGTTAAGAAAAGTAGTTGAATCAATTAAAAGTATATTGTGAAGTAGTTCTACACAGATACAGAACAATTAACACTGCACTCAACTACGACAACTTTAGAAGAAAAAACATAGAGAGAAAACAACCACAAAGACAATGTCCACTAAAAAGCAGGGTATCATACCCGAAGGAACATGCTCCATTGAAATTATTCTACCACCAATCCAAGGAACCACAGTAAGAACCCAATCTCCACTTCTCATCACTACAGGAGTCTTTGATAGCTCCGATCCCTTATGCCCAGGAACAGTATCCATGTCTGGTATTCTTCTAGAACTCTCTGCAAATCCACAAGCAGTTAAAAGGCAAGGCCACATTGCAAATCATGATGTTCCAAACACTGGATCTAACGAATTTCAAAGATATCGGTACCTATCTATCATGTTTCAAAATAGAGAAATACCAAAATCATTTGCGTGAGAAACTAATCATTCTTAACCTCACAACAAATTTACAAGTACCACAAGCATTGAATATGATTAGGAGAAATACGCTAAGATAGACCCTAAGACATATCATCGTTTCTATTACAAACACAACTTTTACCAAAGTTCCGAGAATGGAAAAGTAAAAATGAAATCAAACATAAAACTTGCAGTTATTCAATATCTTCATGGATGTCCTAAGAAGCTACAAATACTTTTGGAGAGCACGGGAAAAGATTTTTAGAAACCAAGACTTAAGCAGTGATGTACCTACTTTCAACCTTTTTTTCCCCCTCAGCCCAACAATCTGGTAGCATTAAGATAATTCAACCGACTATATTCTTACATTATAGGATAACCTTTTTTTTATTAAAAACAAAATAATAAAAAAAAAGCAAAGAATTTGAACTTCAGGCAATAGTGGAAGGATAGAGATTAGAGTAGAGACGTGAATTGCATATATTACCCATACGACTTTTGTACTTCTCTTCACTTGCTAATACTAAATCCGCTATGTCTTTTTCAGAGGGCACCATAATTTGCACAATTTCTCCATCAGTTCCCCAAGCATCAAGCTGTTAAACATTGAACACAAAATATGAAGTGCAATATGAAGATTTAAAGTTTTTGAAGCTCACACTTTGTCTTGTAAATATTTCAAGAGAAAAGACAAATTACATACCGTAGCTCCATTACCCAGCAATAAATGCACATGTAGACGACGGTTTGGCCTTTTCCATGATCCTTCAGTTTTGGAGATACGAATGGTGGCAACTGAAGAAACGAGCTCAGCTGCATAAGTTGTCAAAAGATACCCTCCTTTCCTGTATTCATATCCATCGCCATCATCTTCAAAGAGGAAACCTTCCGCTTTTCCTGAGATTTTAAATGTGTCTAATTTGCTATCCATGGATTCTAAGCATTCCATCGAGCATTGTAACACTATCCAATAATAGAGCTTTTTTTTTTTTTTTTTGAAAGTGATAATAGAGCATTTTAAGTAATCTATCAAGATAAGAACATTAAAAATAATCCAACATTATAACAATGCATCCTCCAGCTATAGAAGTTCAAGATCATGTGTGAGAAAATACTTTGAAAAACCAGGAGGATTTAGAGTTGCACAAAACATTTTGCTTTCACTGTTTAGATATTGGCATCCCACCATGATTAGTTAGTTATTCAATAACTTTCCCTTTGACTCTCCCATTACCCTTCACACAACTGTTTCAATTTGATCCATTACATTTTCTCATGTGATCTCTGCTTCTTCCGCTGTCCAATGGTTTTGATAAATTTTTGCGATAATATCTGGTAAGTTTTTCCTTTTTTGGTAAGTTTTGCAATAATATCTGGTTAATCATGGGTAAGTAGGGGCTTTTTGTTATCTAAACTGTATCAAGTCCTCCTCAATAAAACACAATCAACCAATGTTGAGTAACGATTTTTGTGAAATTACCTTACATTCTTTAAACAATTTTTCATCCCTCTTTATCGTTAAGAAATTATCTGTGTGGGACTAAGTAAAAAAGTTTGTAGTTTAGTTCTATTGTTCTTCTCTCTTTTCAGACAAGGAACTACTTACAACCCTACAAAAAGAAAAGGAAAAAAAGAATAACAAATCATAAGATACTGCAGAACCTTTATAATTTCTCCTTCAATATTTTTCGGCCCGAATATGAATAGAAAATAATTATTTCATCAGCTATGTGATATGACTTCAAGGTGTAAGACTGTAATACACAATCATTTAGACCACAGACGTTACTACCATGAACCAATCAGATAACAAAAAGTTCTCTAAATAAATGAGGTTTAAATTTTGTAAAATCAAAGAATCTACAGCATGAAAAAGAGAATGCAAATCCCAAAAACACCTGTAACAATTTTCATTTGGGATTTGGCACAGCAAAAACTGAAACAAAAACCCAATCATCTTTCTACGAGCACACTTACACTCTGAAAGCTCTAATACTTTTGATTTGAAAGAATCTCAAAAGTCCAGGAATAAAGGGAATATAAACACGTTTCACGGCTCAATCTAATTAATAATGCAAGAAAAGCATTAAATGTAACACAAGAGCATAACTAACTCTACCAATCTGGTACCATATCTATTTAATAGACTTTGTCACATGAGCAGAAAACGTTACCACATTCGTCTAAAGCCACAAGGAGGGATAAGTCATCTGTGGCATTAGCTTCACCAACATGTGTATATGGAGGACCCACAGGAACAATTGATCCACCTTTCAAATACAATGCAGGTAGGTCCTAACAGACCAACAAAGGAAAAATTATTTGTATCCAACGGTGCAAAATCACTATACTGAACTTAGATGACCAGATTAAAGTACCGGATGAGAATCTTCAAAGTCAAAACGTAACCAAATTCCTGTTGGCAATTTTTGCTGCCTATGATCCAGTTCTCCGTGTCTCTGCGTGCTATTAAATGGAAATTCACGGTTAGTTTTTGCCTTTTTAATTTGAGGGATTTAGAACTGACCAATACAATACGAAACATAAGTTGCTGAAGGATAAAAGATAAATCGCAAGTAAACAAAATTTATTCAGCCATAGATACCCCTAGACCGTTACATCTTAGCAGGGCTGAGTACAACTTCACAGATCAGCCTTACTACAATATGTTCTACTGGAAGAAGAAAGAGAATTAACTATACAATAAGCTAACTATTAGCAGGTCTTCACATTCTTTTTGTACTTTCTCGGCTTCAATTGCCTATAACACCTCCCATGCTTTTAACAGCCATCTAGGAATATCTATTGTATTTCAAGGATCACATATTCCACAAGAAAGAGAATACTCCAAGTTTCCGATATTTATTTCTAAAATCTGTTCCTAGCCATCATGTATGCAGCTTCTTCTATAGATTTTTGAGGTAAGAGATCATGATTGGGCTGAAGATCAGTAAACTTAATTAGAAGCTTACTTCCTAAAATTTTCTTCCTTTTTTTTTTTTTTTTGGACGATTAGAAGCTAACTTCTTTAACTCTTTGGACCCAACACTCCAAACTTGAGCGTCAAAAATACCTTTCACGTATTAACCGAATAGAACTTTGGTATTCTATATTATCAACACTAAATTGTGCCAAATTACCATTTCTTCTCATTGCTATTAGTAACATGGGATTAAAATAGATGGATACAACATACTCTAGAGTGGATTTGATAGGCAAGTGTCTAGTTTCAATATTGAGATTTTGTAATCCAATATCTGATCATATGCATATGCTATTCCAAAGATCAATGAGAAAGAAGCCTCATAAAAAATGTACATCACATTATCAAATACTGCAGAATCCGCAATAAAACAAAGACCTTGCATAAATGAGAAGTGGCCCCAACATAAACGAATCCTCACACATTCTTAACTTGGGATCCTCTGGATCTGCACAAGAAATTCAGGAATTTGTCATCCAGAAAGCTAAAATAAGAACCAGTAGCATGTCAAGCAGCCAACTTCTTTGAAAAAAATAAACTAACCAGCAAAGAAAATGGGAGTGGCCACTGGAGTTCCCTTTGTATGAGCCAAATAAAACAGCGTATATATATGCGGCAGAAGGCGGTATCTTCTCTTTAACGCCAGGCGACAAACTTCTTCGCACTAAACATATGCAGTTTATAAGGATGAAGATAAAAAAAAGTTGCACTGACCAATCAGTTGAGAATTAGTCAAATCAGTATCTGCAGGCACCGAAGTTTTTGCTTGGAAACAATTTCCATGAATGCAAAGAGAACAAAGCAACACACACACACACACGCACACAAAAGAAGGAGAAAACTACCTATAATCATCTTTTGTCTATAATACCATAAAATCTGCAATGCAACATTTGAGCCCAGGTAATACATTTTAGTTCGTAGACATCACCGGGATGATAAGAAAACTACCAATAGCCAAAGTCAGCAAGTGCCATATGCAGAAGATAGGATCTTTGGTAGTTTTGTATGCAAGTTACGGTCAACAAACTTGTATTGACAAAGCTTGCAAAGAGAGATCAAACTATGTCATTTCACAGTAGAACCCCACTGTCGTTCAAACCCAGAGAAGAACACATGCATCCGTACCCACAGAAAATGGATTTAGTTCACCAAATTTCATTCGTTTGAAAGACGAATCCAGTTAACAAATGCTTTACTAAGAAACTGACAGTTCATTTACCTTTTTATTTTCTTTCTTTTTTTCTCTTTTTGTATTGACTAAGATGAAGTAATTATATGTAATCAAATTGTAAATCAAGATCTAAGAAAAGTGGTTCTAGCATGTATCAAGGATGAACGAACCTCCACCCCAAATGACCATGGTTCATGATCATTGGTGTCCATTTCAGAATGCCCACGACAGAATGGAAACAAGGATCCTATCCCCATCCAGCGTCCAAAGAGTTTTGGAGTTGCATTACCAGCAAATCCACCAATATCTGGTCCAGAGAGTGGCTGACCACTGAGGGCCTGAATGGTAATCAACCTTGTCAGAGCAGTGTCACAGACTACAGTTATCACTTTGAACTGTATAGAGATGCAAACAGAAAACATTCAAAGCAATTAAATAAACAAAAGAATGTGAATTGATGACCACCTAATCCAGACAAAATAAAAAGGTATTAATTCTTTTTATTTTGCCATTGTAATCAGAAAATATACGTTGTAGAAAGAAAGAGAATGGGTACTCTCTGATGGCATGGAAAATTGGATATGCTATTAGAAAAATATTCAATGTAATATACAAAAACACTGGAGCTTCTAACATCGGTTATCAAAAGATTCAGTTTCACATACAAAGGACTAGTTCCAAATATGTCGCATACAAAGGATTCCAAGTTTCAGAGATAATTACAAGTTGAAGAACCATGGAGATGCTCATGTGCAGGTGTTCCCATGTGGAAAGATTGTCTCCTGTCCAAGTAGCTGCATATCTCTGGCTGCCAATGAATCCAGCTCGAGTAAGTACAAAGGGACGCCTATTTCCATAGGCCAGTTTCATTCCTTCATATGTGGACCTTGCCATCAGCATACCATATACCTAAGGGAACAACCAGTACATATTGGTAAGGATAGATATCAAGATTTGGCTACAAAAACTAATTCTAACACAGCGCAGAAACAGCCAGGCAACTATTGAGAATTTGTCATGTGAGAATCTTAAAACCACTAGGAATTATTGCTTGCAGCTGCCATAAAGTAGAAACAGCTAGGCCCAAAGAAGTATACATTGTGATAATGGGAGTGCATCTGGTAGCCTCCGAGTTCCTCATCTCCCCGGTGAATATTGTTCTCTGGCATTGTTTTAGTTACAGTCTGCAACAAGAATCATTGTAATTCAAGTAGAATACGAACAGAAGAAAAACTAATGATGATACAAGCAACTACATTCAACTTCACCTTGAAAACAGCTGGTTCATTCATGTCATTCCAAATGCCATCTACTCCATTAGAAATGAATTCTTTAACAAGATTAGCCCACCATGAGCGGGCTTTTGATTGAGTGAAATCTGGAAACACACAAGGCCCGGGCCATACTTCTCCTACACATAAATTGAAGGTGCAAGGATAAGACACGTAAGATTAAAGAGATAAGCTGAAAGATTAAGCTAAATGCAAGTGAATTTTACCAATAAACGGATTCCCATCTGCAGTCTGAATCCAGATATCTTTTTCTGAACCGCTATCATAAATAGAATAACCTTTCTCACATTTGATTCCCGGATCTAGCATCCAGATTGCCTTGAAACCATCTCGATGTAGATCTTGTACCAGACATTTGGGATCAGGAAATCGCTCCTGAGAAAGTAGAATTTTCACATAGCTCAACTTCGGGATGAGCATAATAGAACATGCATTATAGACCCCACATCAGGGCTTTAACATGCATTATAGACCCTACATCAGAGCTATAACCAATGCCAATTATCATAAGCATCTAGAGAACAAGCATAGAATCATAGCATTCGCCAAGTCCCTGCAAATCTTTCAATTCAATTCTTAGTCGTGTGTTTTTGCCTAATTTGCAGAACTGCAATTAAACTACAGGAGAGGTAACTCTATATGCAATATAGTATAAGAAACCTATTTTTTGTAACAACTTAATCCTGAGACAAGCAATTAAAAACAAACTGAGAGAGGAATGCTACACCAGAGACACTTCAAACCTAAAGGTAAAAGATGAAGCAAGTACAGGTCGAAGAAATAGTCTCCCTTAAAATTCCTTTTTGTTTCAATATATGTATGTCTCTAGTGACAACAAATTCCTCCTTAATGAAAGATGAGGAAAGGAACACTAGCCTTGTCGAAAGTGAAACAGCGAAAACCATCCATGTAGTCTATGTCCATCCATATGACATCACAAGGTATATCTTTCTCCCTGAATGTCTTTGCAATCTGTATCGAGTCACAGGTATAGTAATTTAAGCAGCATTTTCTGTGCTAAAGGTTGCAACAAAAGCGATTTGTAAAGTAAAGAGGGGAAAAATGAGGACAAGAGCCAGAGTGACAGTTAGCAAACCTCACGAACTCGTGCATCAGATGTATAACTCCAGCGGCATTGATGGTAACCCAGTGACCATTTAGGGGGCATAGACACAGTCCCTGATGAAAACAGTTCATAATTCAAAACTGAAAAATAAGCAGAATAGAGGATGGTGCTGAACACATAGCAGTTAACAGGAATCATTAAAACTCTCTGGTTCAGACGTCATTTGTAATAAACATCGGATCTCTAGGATAAAGATCAAGAAAATAAAACCAACTCAACATAGATTCATAGCGAATTTGCCATCACAGAAGGGAGCATTAAACTGAAATTATTCACTTGAAAAGATCAAGAAATCTTTTGGCAAGTATAGCAATTATCTCTTGGGGAAAAAAAAAATAAAAAAGAACCTGAAATATAGTTAGTTAAATCCTCCCTTTTTTTTCACAGGATTAAGATGAAAAACATCTTCTTCAAAGTTTCAACATTTTGGAAAAAAAAAATAAGAAATTTCAATAATGAAACAAAATCTTATTTTCTGTAAAGACTATAAACAAATTGGAAACATTGGAAAGTAAATAACAGAAGTTGGAGAAAACCTTTCGTTATTTGTTTGTAAAGTTAATGGCAGAAGTTGAGAGGAACAACCAGGAAAGAAGGTGGAAACAGTTTTGCTAGTCTCCAAATGAAAGTGTAGATATTAACTATCCCAACTGTATTGTCAGCTATAGAAATGAAGAAAGTTTTTACTCCAGATAGAAGGAAAAATTATCTTGCAACAAAAATATCATGACTTCATTCCAGATAATGGCTTAATTGCTTCACCGGAAAAATATCTATAATCATAACACATTTTAGCACTGAATTAGTTTATCAGACTGCAAGTATTTCCTACATTGCCAGCCTCATTAGAGCAAAACAGTCTTATATTGTAATTCACAGTATAACTTAAATAATTCATGATTTCCAACATTCTGAAGTCAACATATCTCTGATGGCATTTATTAAATGAGTCAAAGGTTAAAGAAAAATCAGTCTCTTCTTAGGGATAACAGTTTCTTTTATTTGTATCTTTTATGCTTGTACACAGTAGCACATCAGAAAACGGTGATGAAAAGGAAGTTAAATACACAAACAAAGTAAGTGAATGTGAGCAATCGCACTTCATTTCGTGATGGAAAAGACCTCATGATTGGTTTCGAGTTATAGTGTTACTGAGAATATCATGTCAAAGTAAGAGGAATGTGTGAATTACCAGTTGCATGAGATAAAGAAATGAGGACATCAGTTGGTGAAGGAAATGGACCGAATGTAATGATAGGATAAGAAGATTCAGCAACAAACTTCACATTTAATTCTTTGCGCAAATCAATCTGGTAAATTAACAATCCATATCAATGAATGAGAATCAGAAGTTAGTTGTGAAACAAAATGAGAAATCATAGGTACCTCACAGCGCCTTGTGGTATCTGCCAGTACCCCTATAGCCCCTCCATTAGGAAGAACAGCAAGCACCCAAGGATGTGATTGATACAAGGAAGTAGTTCCTGGTCCGTAACCCCACGCATCGGTGTTCCAAGTAAATACCTAACAAATAACATAATTACTAATTCACCTCTTGAACCACATAAATGTATTTATCGTGGTAATACAAAATACATTGGCATACCCTCTTTCCGGTTCTTTCAAGCTGCCCACTAACCTCTCCAGTTCCATAGAAAGAGGTACCAGGTGGAAACTAGAACAAGTCAAAATCCATTCAAATCAGTCTAGCATGTGTGAAGAAGCCATCACATATGCAAAAGCATCAGTGCAAGGACAAGTCCGAAGAAGTAAGATACGAGCTTTTCACCTTGATATTCACAATTTGTTGCCCAAGAACACATTCAAAAGTAGGAATGTAGGGTGGAGCTTTATGAGCAACACTCAACAAAGGTGTGTCCCTGTGACTGGGATCAACAAAAGAAATACTTGGAAATGCTGCATCTCGATCATCTGCAGAGCAATCAAATCGGTAAACTCCTTCCTCCAAGATGGGCTCAAAAATCATACTCCCAGATTTCACATCAGTGTTCACTGAGGACCCTTCATATCCAGCCATCTTAGCATACAGTAAGCCTGTACCAACCAATCTTCTATTACAAACCCTATTTAAATTTTTCATGGATGGAAGTCAGAACACGCTCTCTGAACATTTCTTATAATAACAAATACTTAAAACAACCGCTCTCAGAAATCATCAAAAGCAACAGATGGAATCTAGCACTGATAAGCAAAATCTTCCAATAGTATCTGAATGTTCTCACAATACACAGGTAGTTGGACTATTGGACATGGAATGGCCACACTCTGCCAAGGTACTTGTGAAGTGTTAATAAGTTCTCTTTATCAATTTCCATTTTCCAATACAAGTTGGTTTCCAATTTTTAAAGGACTGCTGAGAAAACTTCCCACGTTATTGAAGTTGTTGATGCAGAAAATGCATTTGACCATATTAGCATACTCAATTTTCAGCTTCAAATAATACACTACAATGTAATACGGGATTGATCCAACCAACGATCTACAGTCAAATAACTGTAACCAGCAAACAAATTGAAGAACTTATGCAACGGCAACACAGCAAAAATTCATTCATCCCTATATGTACGCAAGTATAAAGGTATCATTCCAACTGAAATTCATCTTTGAATACAACACCTATTTGAAACCAAGAAATGAATTATAATATCCTACTGAAGCAACGAACCTGTTTGAGAAAATCACTAAGTTGTTAATGCAAGGCAAGAAGTTGAATTTCTTCAATGACCCATTTGGGATTCTTGAAGATGAATTGGGATTCCGAGTAGCTGAAACAACACTCTCTCTGGGTACTGAAGGTAGTGATGAAGATGATGATGATAATATCCTACTTGTTTTATTACTCAAACACAAATGTGTTTGTTCCATCTGGGGTTATATTAGTTTATACTAGTATAATCATATCCTGAATTCATGATCAGGAAAACTATCATAAACAATTTAAGATTTAATGTATTTCAAAAACAAAAAGTAAATAAATAATTAATTAATTAATTTATGGTTTTCTGATTCTGATGTTTTTAGAGAACTGCGATGACTGGAGGACACGAATGCTGGGAACTGGAAAGTGCAAAAGAGTCTGGTGGGCCTAAAATGATTTTGTTGGCATACACACGTGGTGGTTATAAAGTTAACGTTTTTTTTTCTTGGATACATTTATTAAATTCTAATATTTTTGGATTGTACGCGTTCTTTTTTGAATCCTGTATCTACTAATCCTATCTCTACTAATCTTCGTAATTTTACAAACAGTAAAGTATTTTGCGGTTTGTAAAATATCCCTTGACACATGAAGTATGATTGAATGGACAACGTTTTTATTTTTTGCTTTTGTTTTGGATTTGAGATGCATTTTAAAATATGTTTTGAGTCAAAATTTAAAAGGCTGTTTGAAGTGTGTTTAGAAAATATCATTAAGTATTATTAAATTTAAAATTAAAATATTTTAAGAGTAAAATCCCCACAATGCTACAATGCATGTACATAATATTAATGTCCAAAAAAAATGTGAAAAATGGGCTTGGAATGCTTCTTTGGTATTCCTTCCAATTTCAAAATCACAAAATGTGTAAGTCACGTAAATTAAGAATGTAATTATTTAAAAATTAATTTACATATCAAATATTTTTATATTTTCATTAATTAAGTTGAAGCCTTGAAGGTGGTAAGGATATCAATTTATAAATGTTTAACTGCAGTTGTTGTTGCTTTCAGAATGTTTGGGCTGAAACATGGTGATTCTGTGAGGTTACATCACAAAAGTTGTTCGTAATTTGTTTTGGGCTGCTCACATAATTTTATGCTGAAAAATCTAGGCCGGAGTGGGATCAATTTGATGTGGGCCTATTGTATAGACTAAAAAAAACAGCAAGTACACTAGGTTTAGGAATTAGGACAAGAGGCTTCGGTTTGATTTTTGAGTTTTATCCACTTGTAGTGAAAAAATTTCATGTTTGTGTTTATCTATTGAAGCGTCAAGACTCGAAGTGTTTGATCAAATTTCTTTGTGGGTTAAGCCGAGGGATGTCTTTCTTAATTAAATGTTCACTTCTAATTGGGCTTTATAAACACTATTAGGGGTAGTGATGAAGAATTAGAACACTACATTTGTAAGAAAAAATGTGACCTTAAGGTTATGTTTGTTTCCTTTTTTTAGTGTTTGTTTTTTGATATTTTTTGTATTGAGAATATAAAAAGTTGTATTGAAAATATAAAAAAATATGATAAGATGGGACAGATATTATTATATATTCTGAAAAACCATAAGAAAAAGGAAACAAACATGCTTGAAACTTGATCATAAGTACTAACAATCGCATGTTTGATGCTTATACATGCATTAAAAAATGTCGGACTCTGTAATTCTATGATATATTACTATCGGTAGTAGTACTTCAAAAATTCCTCAATTATTTTGATTAATTTCTAATTATTAAAAATCCAAATTTAACAATATTTTTAAGAAGTGATGAGTAAATCAATCCTAACAAGTAAATACTTATCGTAACACCTTAGCGAACGTCCCAAAAAGTATTATACAATATATATATATATATATATATATATATATATAATCTGATGCAAACGATAGACAAACAGAATTTGCATTTCAACGACTAATTACAATACTTTTAGTTTCAAAATATTCACAAACATATATATGTTATTTTCAACTAAATTGTACGATCATGAAACAAGATAATATATACAATGATAGTTGCATCTTATCCGAACGCGACTATTCATCATGGACTGGTATATTCACTTATACCCAATGATGTTCATACCTTGAAAAAAGGCATATTCACCCAAAAAAAAAAAAAAAGGAATCGGTTAGATCATCAAGGAAAAGCTGAAGGGGTAGGAGACAATAAAGAAACATCCAACTTCATCCATAATGGAGAACAGATGGAATAAACTAATCCTAATTTTTTTTCACTAAACATCTGCAAATGGTGTAGACTGTAGAGCATAGACCTAATGAATCTTTTCCTTTTTAGGCTGACTCATAATGTAGGTCTTTTGATCAACAAGGTATTAAAGTATGTTAATATGAAAATCCAACTTTTTGGGTTGCATTCATTATATAGTATTCTTTGGACATGATCATAGACATGTTGATAACACATATGGTTTGATCATATATGGTCACGTTATCAATCATTATTGACTTTAATTAATTAAATAAATTTTGACAATGACAAGGATCAAGAGTTTCATAAATAATGACTTGTGCAAAATAGGATATATGTACATTAGTCTTCATCATTTAGACTAGAAGGATGGAGATTTGTGATTACAATTAATTGCATAATACGACGTTTTTAAATAAGTTAAACTAGACCATGTTAAGCTCCCACTATAAAGAATGGGTGCAACTACAATCTACCTAATCTGAAAAATGGTTTAAATTGCTAATACGGACCCAAAATAAATTGAACAAAATGCTTGTACACGTTCTAAGAACTAATTACTCCATCCGTCCCATAATGATTGTTCAGTTTGAGTTTTCATTTCTAGTTCAAATTGTACTAAAAGTAAAATCTTAAACTGGACAATAATTTTGGGACAGAGGGAGTATTTGATTTATTAAAACTGTTTAGAGGGAAATTAAAATTTTGCCAGAAGTCCACAAGTTGTGGAATTATATTCGATCTTATTTTGGTTCAAAGAAAATGGTGTGTATATATATATATATATATATATATATATATATATATATAAAAGGTACAAGAAAAAAGAAGAGGCTAAAGTTTGATAGCTAATTACCACATTTTGGGAGTATGTTACCGTATAACATTGTGTTACATAATTAACTGTGTGCCTGGGAAATAATTGGTTTCTCTTTCGCAGGCAATCACCTTCAAGCAAAAATTGTTGTCCTGTCTGTAAGGTCTGAAAACTGCTAAAAAGCAGGTCATACTGAATTGCACGCAACAAATAATTACTTTTTCCGCTCTTTATTATAAAATATTTGGATTTTTTAAAAAAATTTCAATATGTTCTTCCACTTATTTAAAATAAAACTTAAAAACATTAACTACAATAATTGAAAGAAAAAATAAATATGAAAATAAATTTTTAATATTATATTTTTAATAAAGAAAATATTAAACGAAATGAAATTTGAAACAAATCAAAACGTTCTGTAATAATATCAGGAGGGAGTAACCTTTGTGCAGTTAATTTCGGTTCCATCAAAGCAATACCGTACTCTTTGCATTTGTTAGGAGAACCGAGAAAGTGCACAAAATTTTGCTGATATGTACTTAAAAATTTTGCCAAAGCCAACCCAATGTGTGAACTTGCGATGTTGTTCTAGTCTATTTACTTCCTCTTTTATTATTCATATTGAAAAATAATTTTCTAGTATATAAAAATCGTCAAACAATAATCGAGATACATAAGTGACATTTTAAAACTCATAGTCCCTTTATCTCAAAATGATAATACAGTTTAGACTTTAGATTTGAACTAAAAACAATTTAAACTGGACAATTATTTTAAAATAAAGAAAGTAATTAATAAAATTTTATATTTCGATTGTTTAGAGAATTTGCAAACTATAAGAATTTGAACTCGAGGTGTAAAAAATAAAAAATAAAAACTGACGAAACATATGTGAATGAAAAAAAAAATTAATATAGTCCTAAAAAACGTGGTAAACAAAATCTACGTTCTTGAAGGCCCAAAGAATGTGACGCCAAGAATGTGAGGAAATGCAGTGGAAGGCGTGAAATCTCGTGACCTACGCATATCACAACGCACAAGGCAAGCAAAGCACGCACACTCTTTAGCCTGCCACAAGACAATAGGAAGAAAGGCAAAAGTCAAGGTTGGCTGACGCGAAAACATTAATAATTTAGTATTATTATTATTTTTGCATATAATTGCATTCATAAACTTAGGGTCAGTTAATTAATACCAATAATTAATAGTAAAAAAAAATCGTCATCACCACCTTTTATTGTTATATTCCATGTATTCCTTATTCTGTTCCGGCTTTGGAGGGGGAGCTTATGTCAATTGTCCAAATAAATATTATAAACTTATAGTAGTTTTTTTATATCCCTCTAACAATCTTATCTATGTCTTTCTGAATCGTGCCAGTGTAATTACAAATCCTTGTAAGAATGAATAATTGTTTGAGCTGTTAAAATCTTTTTTTTCGCCCTTTTTTCTTTCTGAAAAGAAAACTAAAACATATTAAAACTTGAGTAGTAAGATTGCACATTGATTAGTAATAGGCTTAGTTTACCAAAGAATTTCCAAAATTCGCCGCATTACTCAAACATGAATTGAGCTCCTAATTTTACCTTACAAAATTTGTCCCTTAATCATGTTGAATATAACACGAGCACGGGAAACTCAAGCATAAATCCCTTGTTTGAGGCCCCTACAACTGCAAGGTCCGTTGTACGCCTACGCCAGGTTCCAGGTGCCCAAATTAGACAGCTACACCAAAAGGTCCAAGTGATAAATTCAACGGGCTACAAGGGGATTTCAAACTTACACCATTACACAAAATGCACAATAACCTTATCACGCTAATTACAACATGTTTCATAGTGTTTACAAAGTGTGGACATCTATTAATTATTTTTTATTGCTAAATCGAAATAGAGTCCTTTCCCTATTCCGTAATAATTGTGTTGTTAATTAAATTAGAATGAAAAATGAAAAAACTGAATAAATATTTCTGAACGAATTAAGGAATAAAAATATAGAAAATGCACAATAAGTTCATTTCTTAAATCAACTTCTTTTGTGAAGCTTTTTGTTTGCCTTATTCGTCAAGTAGATTAATTAATATAATGCTTTAATATGGAATTATTCGTATATGTTTTCACAAGTTGATGAATGAATGAATAATCCAAAAATAATATTGAGAAATTTATTATAGCCTTAGCCATCACTCTTGAGTGATGACTTTTGAAAATCAATCTTACATCTCTCTTATATATAACATCCCTTCCCTTCCCTTTATTTTGTACCTATCTTCTTCCTCCACCCATTATTATCACATCATCATCTCCTCAAAGCAGAACCATCACAATTGTACTAGTTGGAAGAGGAGCCCATCATTCAATTCCAAATAGTACATTGAACACTTTATCTACCTCATTTTCACATCATAGACCGAATGAAAAAATTTATATGATAAAAGACCACCGCTTTGCTTTTATTTTGGTTTGTTAGAAGAAGAGGCAGGGGTGAGATAAGGGTCTTAGGGAGTATAAAATTAAGATATTAAAGCAAGAGTTTTGGAGCTGTGATTTTGGGTTTTATGCTGGAATTAACGTGTTCCAATACTATGAATCTTGGGAAATTTTCTTGGAGTTTTAGTTTCATCTTCCACTATAAATCTTGTGCTTGCAGTTACAGAGACTACTCATTAGCTGCTTTTTCTTCTTCTAGTTTGTCTTCTGGGACTGTAATCCCTATTCCCAGAATGGCTTCTTCTAGTACCTGTATCGATAGCTCTTCCCATTTCGCTTCCGGGTCTTCTTTGTGTTTTTAGAGGAGAGGATAATCTGAAAGATTCAATTTTGATAAACCCCTATTCGTCTTCCCACCGCCTTTTGGATTCTGTTTATTTTCTCGATTCCTTTGGCATCGTTTCTCATTCTGTGTAATCTTGAAAGTTTGTGACTTTGGTTGGTGTAAAATTTTCAAAAAAAAATCAAATGAATATATTGGCCGTGTCACTGCCTGTGTTCTGCAATCAACCGATGATGACGACTCCTGCTCTCAATGCATCTTCAATTGCTACCAATTCGCTGGGAATTTTTGGCAGGTAATTCGTTGTTCTTATCTTTCGGGTTTTCTTTTGATTCAAGAAATACCAGTTTGATGATAAAGTGTTAATTTGATTAAACCTGTCGTGGATAAGGGTTTAATGGAAATTAGTTGTATTTTGCTTCTAATTAGAGCTGTTGTCAATATCAGTTGTATTGTGCTTCTTGTTCATGTAAAGTTATTAGTGCGTCGGAGAAGCATTTGTGATACTATACTGTCACTTCACTACTACTAGGCAATCCCCAATAGCCCTTTATTCTTTACGATCATCAGGTGTGATTTTGATGGTCGTGGTGGATGTTGGATTGAGAATGGAAAGAGGAACAAATTCGCTGCCCTCACGAATGCAAAAGCATCCAAGAAGAGGAGGTTGAGCGTCTCACCTCTGGCTTCTTCTACTTTGGCTGATAGCCCAAACTCTTCTAGAGCTAATTTCTATAAGGAGGTTGGATGAATCTTCAACATGAACTGTTTGTTTCCTTACAGAATCTTTTTCTGTATTACTGTTGCTCCAGGCCATAATTCTGTTTAACCTACTTTCTTCATATTCTTTTTGTTTTTTTGTCTTTTTTTTCCCCCTAAGATCTCGAACTTGAAATTTTAGTTATGAAGATTTATCTGAACACTGGTTCTTTGTTGTTGATTGTGGATTATTATTTAATCTGTAAGGATTTGAACTTTGGGACTTTCAAAGGTTTAGCATTTTAACTCTCTGTTGATGTCATTATTATTCACCAGGTTCTTAAGGTTGCTAGAGAAAAATTTACCCAAGAGACATCTTTCCCATCGAAGGATAAAGATATCTCACTTGCAAAGGTATCAATCCAACTTTATTTTTATTTGTTGCTTTAATGTTTGGTGAACTTCTTTTGACTATTCTTGGTTTGTGGTACTCTAGCCTGCTTCAGCAAATGTAGTAACAATATCTTTGCAATGCGTATCTTTGAAATTTTATGTTTCTAATTTTGTGCCAACCCAGAGATTAAATGATTGTGTGTGTGAAATTGCAATGCAACTCTTGTTTTGAGAGTCATGCTGCGTGACATAGTCCATCTTAGCAGAGTCTTTGTTCGCCTGACTTTTGTGTTTAGGTCCTTGTGCTACTTATTGGGTATTGCCCATGCCTGATTTATTTGTCTAAATTTTCTTATTAGGTTTTGCTTTATGTTGCTGCTGAAGACGAGGCATTAATGAGTTTCAATCGGGAGAGGGATGCACTGTCACTCCAAAAAGAACGGAGAGAAACTTCATCACCAAGTGATGTTTCTTGGGAAAATGTAGAGGAGATGCCTCTTGCTGGAAAGAGCATGAACCAGTGGCTGTCGGAGTTGGATTCCATTGCTAAGGAAGTGGAGGCTGAATTAGTTACAAGAGACATAGGATGCCATTTGGTTGAAGTTTTGGAGGCTGTGAACATGGTACTTTTTGAGTCAAGGGGATTCAAAAGGTCACCTATTCTACTTGATTCGAACTGTGCATACTTGCACACAGTATTAAATTCTGGATCCTGCAGTGGTATATTTCCATCTCTATTTCTTTAATATCGAAGCTATGGTTGTTATTTTATTGTATTCAGTCAACTATTGACATCTGATTCTGCATTTTTTTTGTTGACAGCAATTTTGCTCAGTGTAATTTATATTGAGGTTTGTCGTAGACTGAATCTGACCATTGTTGGATCTCGAGTTGGGGAAGATTTTTTGATATGGCCTCCTGCTGGGAATCCTGAGGTATGTTGGTTAGAAACTCTGGAATAATCTTCGTTTGCAGCTAGCTTTAGTGCTTTATCCTTTCCACACATCTCTATCATGGGGAGTTTGCCCTGTAATAATGATTCTCATAAGACTGATATATGATTGTGAATTATTTTGTAGGAGCTATTCAGAGTAACTTCAGGACTCAGTTTGTTTGGTGTGGTTAACGGAAAATGTGTTGATGACCCAAGGTCAAAGGCTTCAGATATAACTAGCAATTCTCTTGAAGCGCTTGAAATTGCGACAAACAGAGATATAATTGGAATCGCTTTGGCCAATCTGATTGTAAGCTCCACTCTGCACCCTCATTTTCTGCATAGAATGAGCTATTTGAGAAGTAAATATGAATATATTTTTCTTGATGCTGCCTCCTGGTTCATTTTCAACTGACGTTATGAATTATATAAGAGCTGAACGAACTGCTTTCTTTTTTCCAGAGGTTTTACTGGAAAAGGGCTTCCAGGAGTAATCATGGACTGATGCTGACTTCTCCACTTAGGCCTGCTAACTTTACTGACGAGAGAATCACCATTGATTGTACAAACCTTCCTTTGTTACGTCCTCAAGATTTGAGGTAGAGTTGATTATATTATTTGCAATCATACCACAATCCCCATCATCGGATATTTTGAATACTTTGTGACAGAAGGTTTTCATTTTGATGCTTTCATATGATTAGTGTTGGTTCTTGCCACTTCCGTCTGTCATTCATAAAATTACCTCTATTTGACAACTCATGTTTGACAGAAGCTAAGTGTTTATGACTGCAAGAGTTTAGTTTACAATGTGGGAATTGAAGAACAAACTGATAGACAAGGGCTCATGAAGAAAATGCCTACCTATGTCACTTATGTCTTCAAAGACCATTATTGTTGAAGTAATACAGAATTGTTATAAATTTGTATTCAGCGTTGTTCATTTTTATTCTTGAACTAAATGTCCAAATTTGATGATTATCATTTTTACAATTTTAGGCCACCGTAAAGCCAAAAGGAAAGAAGTCCTTTAAGATTATCAAAGGCTGTAGCATATATGGGCTAGTGATGACCTTTAAAGAAAAGGAAGTTTCTACTGGATGTTTCGGAAACTCAATTACTTGATTATTGTCAGATATTGTTTTATTGAGTCTTCTGAATCTGCCTTTTTAATTGTATGACTTGTCGACTATCATTTACTTCTTTTCCTGTTGCCTGCATCACCGAGTTGGAGATATCATTGTATTGGCTCTGTGGCTTTGTGCATACTTGACACCTCTAGGAACTGATATGCTTTTGTTTATCTCCTTTGTACTCAGTTGCATGACATTTTTAGCTGTCAACGTGATCATTATTTACATATTCTTGTTCTCGATCAGTTGATCTTCACAAGCAGCTTATAACCTCTGCTACTAGGAAGTAGACCTTTGCTGGTCTTGAATTCCTCTTTTAAAATGGTGTGGTATGTCCGTTGAATCTTTTTTAGGTTGGCTATGATGGCTTCCGAAAGATTGCTCATTTTGCAACCCCACAATTGGGCTCTAAGAAGAGACTATGGCATGATGTTGTACTATAGTAGGTAAGAGGTTAACTTGTTCAATAAATGTTGGTCTTTTGTTACACTTATGTGATCTTGTTAACTGTAACCAACCGAGTTTTCTCAATTCCAGGGAGTATGAGCAGGCAGTTCAGGAGCTTAGCATTTGCATGGTCTTTGCCCCAGAAGAAGAGGAAGCAGTGCTAGAACCATTTGTTGAGAAACTACACTTACTGCGTCTTGAATCGTCCTGGAAATCATTGGGCAATAAAGGTCGGCTAACTATTTCTTGAACCCTCTGTAGAGCTACTGTCCTTTTGCCTAAATTATACGTACCCAAGAACGAAGCATTGTGTGCTGTGGAACTTAGATGTAACATTTTTCCAATTGTTGTAAATATCCTGGCACTGTCTTGATCAACAGTTTTTAGAAATCATATATTGTATGTTGAGTTCCGCTCAGACTCGGAGAAACTCCCAGAATTACCCCGGTTATGTAGTGACTATTCTCTCACCAAAGAGATTTTGGAACTAGTTTTTCCGATTCTATTATCCAATACCTGTAGCAGCCACCGAATGCCGTTGCAGATGTATTTCTTTTATAAAAAGGGTATCAAAGGTGAGAGCTGTTTTGTAGTCACCTTCTTTTCCTTTTTTTTTTTTTTTTTTTTTTGGTTAAAAGGTAAACTTTCATTGCATCAACAAAACTTCAGTAACAAATTACGCCACCTCAGATGCAAACTAGAGAATTTACAACAATCAAAACCTCCAAAACTATCCTGCAACACCTGACACTATATCAAAACTGCACAAAACAAAGTCCCAAGTATAGGACTTCTTGTTTCTAGTTTTCACTGAAAAAGGTCAAAGCCGAGTAGCGCATCTTGATGGAGAAACTTTTAATCCGAGTAACACATTTTGTGATAGGGAAAATAAGCAATCTCTCCATATCGCATGAGTCTAGCTCCAAATCACAAGGACTAATTCTATCAAAGGTAAACCGCCAATTTACTCTTATTAACTTTTTCATTTGGTCTTCCACCGAAGTTTTTAATGGCATCTTTAGCACAGGAATGTTCCTTAATTGGATGCAAATAACACAATTAATTTGAATGATGGTGAAGTCGAATTACATTTTGCTTACGTTTCAAACGTTACGAGAGACAAAACTTTATAACAAAAATTAATACGCGAATAAGAATTAAGGAACCTGAGTAAGTCGTGGACCTACTTTTATTGTTTCTTAAATGTTGTTTAGGTGATTCGTGCATTTCATGTGAATGTTAAACCGAAAGCAACGATAACCTTATTACATATAATCACTTCACACTGTTGCGTGTCACTTTCATTTTGTGTCATCAATCCAACTAGTTGGGTGGCCAAAAAGCATTTTTTGATTAATTGGGCAGAAACAGACATGAATTAGATAAGAATTTGGTGCCAATAATGGAGATCTTACGTTTTATGGGGTTTAGTCATTGTCATAGGACGTACCTGGAAATGAGCTCAAAGTCCTCAAAGCGGGAAATAATAATTGCAAAATAACGACCAAAAGAAAAGAAATACGCGTAAGAGATTTGTTAAAATTTGAGCATTGATATAAACCCACACGTAACCCTTTTTTTTTTGTTGTTGAACGTATTGAAAAGTAAAGATTGATTAATTGGAGAATTAGGGAACATGAATGGATCCCGATCTGTGTGGTAAAAATGACACCGAATCAATTTAAAATTCAATGGTTAATTTTCATTTGTAATGAGGATGAAATTTACATGGAATCCAACGAAGGTCACCATCAAAAGTAGAAAGGATTATACCAAAACTATTTTAGTTAGAAAAGAGAAAAAGAAATGGGATGTATACCACCAATAATTTCCAATTAGGAGAGAGGACACCTACGACCGTATATATTAGGGATGCGATGACTCATCCTGAAAGGACATCATTGATTCATCGCTTACATAGGTGATGGACATATGTTTCTCTAGGATTTTGAACCTATACCAAGTGGTTACCTTAAATCTTTAAAATTGGTTATAAATTACTTATTCTTATTAGTCATTTTTATTCCATATGATGGAAAGATATGAAAACCAAATACTTCGTGCTATTTAGTAGTATTTGAATTCTTTTGGGGGTTACTAGAGTATTTGAAATTCAAAATTATTCTATTTGTGTTAAAACTAGTCTTTTGGTGTCACGCGTTGCGCGACCAGTCTAATTTAACATTTGTTTACTTCATTGGACTTAGTGTACAATAAACTGTAATGATGGGTTGGTGTCTTATGAATATTGAGTTATTATATGCGCCTCCTTTTTTAAGGAATTAATAAGAGTATACAAAGAAGAGTAACCGAAGAAGAGTAGCACTTTTTTTTTTTAAAAAAAAAAGAAGAGTAGTGATTTTGAAGTATGAGACATAGTGACATGATTCTAAGCAAAAAGATCCTTGATATCTACGAGAAATGTAACCGAAGATGGCATTGATAAACTTAACCAGAAAAAGAGTGATGTACTCACGAAATTTAAAGTTTCAGGAGCAGTTCATTAAGGAAATCGAAATGCCAGTTCGATATTTTTTATCACGATATCTCAGACCATGTCAATCAAATTGCCACTAACATGCTACCTTTAAAACTCTACTTTTCACTAAAAGAAACTTGAATAATTATTGATCAGAAATGAGCCCTTCAATAAGGTTGAATCATACATACAAAAATTAAAAGATACTCTCTTTCATAGAGATGTGCTTCAATGATGATGCACCAAAACCAGAATACAGCTGATACAACAGGGGATATGCTTCTTTCCCTCAACCAGGACATTGATACAGCTGCTTAAAGCAAGTAGTGACATGTTTCTGTTGGCACCTTCAAGGGATCTAAGTGTGCTCTGATCAGTAGCTAGAGCTCTTTCAGAACCAACAAGATCAATAAGTGAAAGTTTTCCAACTCGTTGAACAACCATTTTGGAGGCATCTTTCACTCTATATTCCACCAGAACCAGCATATAGCATAAAAGAAATGGAACGATCAAGTTATTCTGAAGTTTCTCCACTTCTTCCAAGTGCCTGTCTTTCTTTTCTTTTTTTCCTTAAGGTCTTTAGTTGTACTCTTAATTTGTTGGGTTAAGCGTATTACCTCCTCCTTCAACTTAAGCATCTCTGGTTGCTGAGCATGGAAAAATGATGATGATGAATACACTCTTAGGTCTTAACTCTACCATTGAATCAAATAGCAATCACAGCACTTTTAGGTCTTAACGTTCTCGTATATAAAATCTTTGCTTTAACGGTACATTTTAAAATCTCTATAAAATTATACACACTAAGGAAATTTTTTCAGCCACTACAGATGCTCAAACATCACGAAATAGTATCAAATAAAAAAGAGAACATACAGAAAGGACGAGATACATCAGTTAATAAGTATAAGAATCACACTTGAGCATAAGCAACAGTAAAGATCGGATGCTACTATTGAAGAGCTAAAAATGAAGAAAATCAATACCTGAATGTCTGGAAGAGTTTTCTGAATATTATCAATTGCTCTTGCAAGTGAAAATGTTTCTCAGCTTCCTCTTTATGTTCCTTTTTTTGCTTCACTTCCAACTTTATTGTCTTCTTCTTCTTCTTCTTCTTTCAGCTTTATTTCGTGTGGTTCTGGTGTTCGGTTCTAATTCCCTTGATGAAGTAATGCCATTACTTGTTACACGATAAAAATGTGGTTACCATGAGATTTTTTTTGAAGCAATAACCAAGTAAATCCCCTGCTTAGTTGAAGGGTATGGACAAGATTACCTCATCTGTGGTGTATGCTCTATATTGGGTAAGACCAGCAGCCGCTATACCCTGAAATATTTAAAAATCTACATTTGAAATTATAAAGAATGATGAACAAGTTCCCTACATATGTTGAGTTAAGTAATATAAATATATGATGATAGCTGATTGCCAAAACGATCATTCAACAATTTTCTTTTCCCTTTTGTTCAACAGTTTTGTCTATTCATTTTCAACCCGAAAAAGATTGAACTCTTTTTTGCAACAAAACATAAAATCAAAAGAGAACTTATTTAAACAGCAGGGACCATGCCTTAAAAAACCGACTTAGCATCTTTTGAATTTGCAGCTATCCATTTCCACAGCAATTGAAGCCGTAAGTTGGTTATGCCCCGATTGCATATACACGGGTGCATTCCTTCGCTGCAAAATTACCAACACATAATTATGCATGAAAACTATTGTTAATCAAAATATAACCAATTCTGCATCTTTATTCTCTATTTTGCTGCTTTCAAGTTCTTATTTAGATGTATCTTTTCGTTCCTAGAAAGTCTACCTTCTGGTGTTGAGGTCATAAATCACCCAATTAACATTTGACGTTATTATATCTCAAAGGAAAAAAACAAAAACAAAGAGGGGAAAACATGACAAATTGCATCAATAACCATGGGACTGAGCAAGAAAACTAATCTGTCTGCGTAGAAAACCAGTAGAAATCAAATCATCAACAAGCAACGCTGGTAAAAGAAGAAAGCAACAAAAATTCCCAGGCTGGGTACTTTAAAGGACAATACAGAAATACATACGCCAAAAATTTGAGCTACCCAAGTTACAAATTATAGAAGTAAAATCATCAGAATAAAATGTTCCCAATGAGATAATATACATTCGCAAGAAATCATAGAGACAGAGGGAGAGGAAGAGAACCAATACCAATGTTAATAGCCCATTGACGAGGTCGACGGTGGAATTTGAGTATCACTTGAACCTATGCGGATTCAAACTTGCAGAGACCTGAGATCAAATTGAAATCGTTGGCGATGAAGAGAAAGCTGAGGTAACTCACTATGCCATTTCCACCCCCTCACAAGTGCGGGCTGATCTCAACATTTTCACAGCAAGTGCCTTTGTTGAAGCTACTCATGTCTTTCCACTCTAGCCCAAGTCCAATGAAGTAATGCTTTTGAAATTCTACCATATCTTCATTCCAGACCAACCGTTGAACCCCGGTTTTTCCAGTGTTGTAGACTTACATACAAGAAAAAAGAAAAACACTCATCAGCAGGGGCTGAATACACCCATTGTCCCGCTTTGTTAAACAAAATCAGAACAACAAAGTGAGCTATTAAAGAAATTGGATGTAAGAGAGAGATGAAACCATAATGGACCAACAGACCTATCTTCCAAGTATATATAAACGTGTAACAATGGAAGTGCCAGAGGGTATCACAAACTTACCACTGACATGTCCGGAAGTTTCATGCGCACGATATGCAACAACACAAAGAGATCTTTTGGCATACTCCTTAGCTTTATCCTCAGACATACACTTGATATCATCAGAGGGATCTATCCTATAGATAAACCAGGGGAGAAAAAGAAAAGTTAATGAAAAGAGTAGAGTAAAATCAGACGCAATAAAAAAATTAAAGCAATCTTAATGCAGTGTCTTATGCATGCATCAATAAGTCCTTAATATTAAAGCAAGGAAGGTGATGACCATGTTTATGTGAAGTAAAATAGGGAGAAGACATACGCGACATCAAATGAAAAACAGGCAGTTGCAGCACATCCTGTTCCAGCAACTGAGCCTCCAAGCCGTTTCCCCTTACCATTCACTTTATACAGGGCAGGTCCCTACACAAAAACCATGATCAATTCAATAAGAGTCATAGGGAAAACCAAGCAGAGGAAAACATTCTACATTTTACCGATTTTTTGTCCCACCCAGCGATCAGCACTCCAAGCGAGGAGCTGTCATCGCTATCGGGTTTAAGGGACAGAAACTCAGCCAGCCACTTGGATGCTTCTTCAGCAGAAACTTTCTTCCACTCCTTGGATTCACGTTTGTGGCACTAAAACACATGTCCCACATGAATTACAAGGGAAAAAAACATGTCTCACATGAGATTCTTCAATGCAGACTCATAGAGGATAAAGGCGTCTGAACAACAAAAGCCTTTTCTGCGGTTGCAGCAATTTTCTAACCTTATCACCGCAGAGAATTGAAAATTCATTAACTAAATATCTGTTAATTAAGAAATTACTAAACAATTACGAGATCCTAAGCTGCTTTTATAGTATTTTATTACGAAACATTGCAATCATCTCTTCCAAGGAGCTTCATGGGAATCAATCTTTGAGCAACTTATCAAATTAGCATTCTTATCTAGACTTTCAAACTATCAGTTACCAAACTAAGAAACCTCACATAAAAAAGAACAAAAAAAATAAAAACAAAATTGAGCTGCAGAAAATCAATGAAATAACTAACATCACAAAAAGGTTTGATGAAACTTTTGGTGTAAACAAAAGGAACTAACTTTCTCGATTCCAACAAGTTTAACTTACTTTTAGGATGAAAACATGGGTGAATAATCCCATTCATGTCCAAATACAAATTGTCAAACTCCATGGCCTCGTGACATCCACAAGCATGACGACACTGTTCCCGTGCTTTCTCGGCTCTTCCTCCACCACATCGACGATCGCTAACAGGTATCGATCCACCAGCCATATGTTGAATGCCGAAACACCCATTGATCAATTTATCATATCAAAAATCAATTGATCAAAAAGCCTTCATAGTCATAGCAAATTGTCATAATTTAAATACCTCAAGACAATAGAACCATATCTAAGTAAGAATCGGCGGTGGCAGAATTGGAGAATTGGTTGGGCGTAGCGGCCGGTAGTGGGTGGAGGGAGTTTCCTTTGGGTTTAGAGGAATTGGTCGGGGAAGAAGCGAGCGGCGACGGATGGCGCAAATCAATGTAGAAAAAATCTGGAAATTGAATCCCTCGATTGCAATCTGTAGGCTTGCCGACTCAGCAATCAGTTGCAGTCCATTGAATTCTTGGTATCCCTCCAAGCTTTGCAGGCCAGAGACGCTGCTTGCAAATCCGACTACTTCCAAAAAGTGGTGGTGGTCTGAGAGGCTGCTTCATGTGCTCACTTAATTTTGGAGATCAGAGGCCCCGATCAGATCAACTCCGGGCGCTATACTCTCTCTCTCTCTGATCGCGTCACAACAATACCGATTATATTCGTAGCTGCTCTCAAATAACAATACCGATTGATAATGGCCGATGATTAAGAGCAAGAGAATCGTAAAATTAGAAATTGGCAATTGATGATGATTGCGGAGGTAAAGGAGACGACATGAATCTTAGATATCTTCCAAACGATTGATCGGCGGCGAGGGTGACATCGATTGAAGAGAAAGAGAAGAAGACAACATCGGTAGAGGGTTTTGAAAATTTAGGGAACAAAACAAAACGTAATACAATATTTATATTTTTTTCGAAGGGGGAAAAAAAATCAAAACGAAGTCGAAAATTCGAATTTTGTAGTATTATTATTTATCAGTAGAAACCCATTTATGAAAAGGAATTGTCGCCGATCAGGAGTAGAAGAGCTGTCCAGCCGTCGTTCATATTTATAGGTTGGGGGAAGGAGGAATGACGTCGTTTTCTTGGCCTCGGAATTTTTCCCTAAAACCTGTGCTATTTTTTAACCGAGGAAAAAAAAAAGAATAAAATTAGAAACAAATACGGATTTTGTATTATTTATTAGAAGGAAACAAATTATGAATTATCGATTTTACCCTAATAAGTCGCTGACGTCATATCAACCCCATCTGAGGAACGAGATCGATTCGACGGTGGTCCTTGAATATTTTTTGGGCATTATTTCTTGCCTACTGTGCCTTTTATTTAAGTATAGGGATGATTGTTTTGTTTTGATTTTGATTCTTTGTACATAGTATTGAGAGTGAAAATACAAACTGAACAATTATTTGAGACGAAACGAGTATTTCCTTAACAATATTTTCAAAAACTCCAAAGTTTAACCCTTATGGTCTAAGATTGAAAATTGAAATCCGCCAAATGTACATATGGTCTAACAGTATTTTTTGTATTGAAAATGTAAAAAGGCATACTGAAAATGTAAAAAATCATGTTAGAATGAGACAGTTATTAATAAATTATTTTAGAAAAAACATAAGAAGAAGGAAACAAATAGATAGTTGAAAATTCATTAGACTGTGAAAATGTGAAAATTCACCAATCACCACTATCATAAGGAACGGATAGGGTATCAAAGAGAAAACTGTAGTCCATTTGAGAACTATAGTTCGGGGTTATAATACTACATTGGGTCCATTCCTTGTAGTCAAAATCAGAGGACTCTAATGGACTAAAGCCCAATTAAAAATACCCTTAAACCCCCACATAACCAGGGCAACAGAAGTCGCCCTCGTTGAAGAAAAAAATCACCACCATCCGCCGTCAGTCTGTTTCTCCCCGTTTAGATTCTTCCCGGCGTTCATGGCTTCAACAAATGCTTCGGAGCAGAAGAGAATCAACGTAAACACTGTGAGAAAAGCAGTTAGAGCTCTTCAAAAATGGAGGAAACTGCACCCCAAAGTGGCCCAGAAACCCGCCTCCTTCAACGAAGAAGGAGAAGAAGAAGAAGAAGAAGAAGAAAACCATGAATCGTTCGATAAGGGAAACGATGAAAATGAAGATTTCATCTACCTTCTCTTGACCCTAAAGAAAATCCCTCCCAAAGAGCTTTCTATCACTCCTCACAAAATCCCTCTTCCTTACCCTCTTCACTCTCATCAAGAGAAGAACATCTGCCTGATAATCGACGATCGTCCCACCAAATCCCCGGGAAAAATCACAGCAGAAGTTGCTCTGAAGAAAATCAAATCCGAAAACATCCCAATTACCAAAGTCCTCAAGCTCTCGAAGCTCAAATCAGACTGTAAATCCTTTGAAGGGAGGCGAAATCTCTACAATTCGTTCGGCATTTTGTTAGCGGACGAGAAGATTGTCCCTTTACTTCCCAAGATCTTGGGGAAGCAATTTTACAAGAAGAAGAGGAAAGTTCCTGTCCCATTGGATTTGAGGGGGAGAAGTAGCTGGAAAGAGCAGATTGAAAAGGGTTGCGATTCGTCGTTGTTTTGTCTTGGTAGCGGGACTTGTAGCATTCTGAAAGTCGGGATTTGTGGGTCGGAGAATGGAATGGGAAGTGATGAGATAGTTGAGAATGTGGGTGCCGCCGTTAAGGAAATTGCAGGGATTGTTCCGAAGAAATGGCGTGGGATTCGTGCTCTGCACTTGAAGCTTTCGGATTCTTTAGCACTGCCCATTTATGATCCATTAGCTGAAGTTAAAGCTGATGTTGAAGACGAGGAGAAGATGGAAGAAAATAGCAAATTGGTAGGAGGAGGAATCAGGACGAAGAGAAAGCAGGAGCAAGATGGAAAGCGATAAATGAGGTAAAATTAAGCTGCTTGATTTAGGGGTCGATTTCTAAATTTTGTTCTGGAAATGTAAGTGTAACTAATGTTTTTGGTTAGTTAGATTTTCAATGAATATGCTGATTCAGGACAGGGTTTGTCTGGGATTAAAAATTGTCTGGAAACCACAATGCAATTCTCAAATAGTGTTAATAAGCTGGCAAGGATTTCTAGATTAGACCGAGACCTATTACTAAAACTTCGAAATCTGGAAAACATCGTTCATAACTTCATAACAGAAATGCTAAGAGCCAAAAGCTTTTCTAGCGTTCCAACAACCCTGATGCCTAACAGGGGCTTCTGTTGTATGATGTCTTGAGTTTGAGCATGTACATGTACAAATAACTGTTGGGACTTGGGAGACATTTGTTCTTGATGAAAGGATACATCCGAACTGAGATAACATTTCATCAATTGTATCCATTGTTAATATGGTCATATCCTAATGTAACACCTCTAGCGCCTCTGAAAACGGTGAAAATTCAAAGGGGATGGAGGAATTTCCAAATGCTTCTTTTTTTTTTCTTTTTTTTTTTTTTTTCTGAAAAGGTCCAAATGCTTCTGAATACATGGATTCCACGCAATAATCTTATCAATTTTTTTGCATATGACAAAGAAAGTAGCCCGTTGCAAGTATCCACCAAAGAACACTATCATGAGAAAGAATTGAAAGGCCGTTTAATTGTTTTACCCTTTCATTTGCATTGTGAACTCAATGAGATCTGTATAACTAAATCTGAACCCCAGGATACTATCATGAAAGTACTGCTGTCATCATCATCATCAGAGCATGCTTTCAATTGATACTAAAGTGCCCCATGATTCAGATACACGCCTAGATCGAGTTAGAGAATCAAATGGCAAACTCAAAAGAGAAATATTCCAAAGCCAAGAGGCTTTTTTCATACGTAAATAAATTGACACCAAAAATCTGCAAATCTAAGACTTTGCTTACCTGAGACTAATGAGGCTTCCGGTACAAGGGACACATCTAACTGCATCACTAATGGTGAAATTACTCGCGGATTTGTTGTCAAGATCATAAACCTCAAGCTTTGACCCATTGAGCTGCAACATCAACTCCTTCCTTTTCTTTGAGTATCTTATTGGCACTAAATGACAGAACTTCTGATAAGGAGTTTCAACAGAGCAGATATTTATCCATGTGCTGTCAACTCCATATTTCTCCATAATCCAAAACTGCACAACAAAACCTTCACCTAATCTCTGCCAGCAATTGATGTAGAGGCAACCATTCAATACGCTCAATTCCTCATCATTGCCATAAAATGTTGGATATGTTAGTTTTCCGAGTTTTTCGCTACTAAGATCAAAGGTAATGATGCAGTTGGTTACTTCGCTTCCCTCTCTGGCAAGCCAGTGCAATTTACCATCAAGCGGTGCACAAAGAGCCGGTTGGTAGTAGGAAGTGTACAGCTTGAATGGGAGATTACCCGTTCGGCTCCATGAGTTCCGCTTAAAGATGTAAACGCAGAGACCACTGCAACATGAGCTTGAAACCGAATCATCAGCAAGGTCCTCAAACCAATGCCAGTTCACCAATTTGTAATCAGAGTTGGCATGGTCATATCCTAATGCAAAACCAACAGGATCACTGATTTGGTCGGAACTTTTCAAAGGGGACGGTGGAATCTCCAGGTGCTCCTGAATCCATGGATTCCACACAATGATCTTATCTCTTTCCGGGTATGTCAAACAAAGAAGCCCGTCGCAAGAACTCACCAGATTAACAACACCTTCATAAGAAGATAAAGGGCTCTGCAGTTGTTTCACCTTTACATCTGCAGAATTACTGATATGATCCCAATAAAAAGTGTAGAACTTTTCTTGAATCAGGACAACTATCATGGTGGTGTTGTCATGATCACCATCATCAGAGCTTGCTTTCAGTTGGGACATCCTGAAATGCAATTCCAGGAATCCAGAGCTGTCGATGAAAGCTCGCCACAATTTTGATACCATCTGGATCGGATCAGAGATTCAAATGGCAACTTCAAAAATATGTTGGCAAGCAAATCAAGTGGAATGTAATGGTCTGACATCTTTGATATACTGACTTGAAAACAACTTAAACAGATGTTCTGATTCGGTCTTCCTCCTGACAAAACAGAAAGAAATAGTACGTGTTACGCGAGAACTAATAATGATTTTGTAAAATTGATTTTTCTGATTGTGGAAAAAAGAGTTTTTCAGATGTTTTCTGACAAAATTATTGTTTTGTTGGTTACCCTATAATAAAATTTGACGATAAATATGGGACGGAAAGAGTAAAAGGCTAACCCCACTATGAAAAGGAATTATTGTTGTTCCTACCGGACTTCACTCCTCGGCCGATTCACCGCTGTAAATTACCCTGGAAAGTGTTCGAAGTACGATGAATCCAGAAAATGTGGTTCGGCGGAACCAAATCTGCGCGGCCTCGCCATCTCCAGTTTTAAGCCTTAACCCTGCAATTTTTCTTTCGATGAGAATTAGTCTGTCGCAACAAAATACTGTAATGGTTCTGAGATCTATAGTAAAATTATACAAACTCAAAACTCTTTTATCTAATTTTATAGTTTCCCTCGAAGTCGTGACACGGAAAAGTAGTGTTCACTAAAAAAATGAATAAATCGTAACAATAAAAAATTAGTAATACAGATTTCAACTTTGGATCTTTTATACAACTAGGGATAACAATAATTTTCGACGAGGGATAGGAATGCAATTATATTTTTCATACGTAATTCCTGTCTCGAATTATTAACAATTTGTAAATTTCGCTATTTGCCGCTTTAATTTACGTTTATATGTATAAATACCTCAAACATGAACCATGTCATACCCTTTTTAAGTAATGGTCAATATTGTTTTTCTTAAAGAGTTGAGTTCGGTCTTCTAATGTTGTGAAAAGAACCACAAGTTTTGGTATCTTTGATTTGAGCTATATAATAAGGAATAACAGACCTACGTCCACAGAGTGAATGAAACCTAATCAAAATTGATTATGAACACTGAATGGTGCAATGAAAACTAGTGCTGAATTTACCCAAAAAAAAAAAAAACTAGTACTGAATAACTGAATTGCTTTATGAATCTTAAATTAGCCTAAATATAGTACTTCCCCCGTCCCATAATTATTGTCCAGTTTGGATTTTTCAATTCTAATTCAAATTGTACTAAAAGTGAAATCTCAAATTAGACAATAATTTTAGGACAGAGGAGTAGAAGATATAATCAAATACCGAATTTATTAACAAATCTATATGTTCACAACAAAGAAGAGAAATTTCAAAAAAAAAACAACAAAGAACAGCATACAATTTTCACATTTCAAAGTGAAGAGCATATAATTGATTAGTTGTACATCAATATTGGCTCAAAGTGACTTAAGGGGTAGTGAGAGCACGAGTTAAGCTTTACAACTCCATGATCTGAAGCTGGTCTCATAACTTACTGCTCAACTTTTTTTGTTTTTGGTTAATTATATGTTTAAGAAAAATAGTGTCATTTTTTTTTCGGTAGAAGGAGTAATTAGTTACCATAATTTTTATACCATATCGAACTGGGTTATGATTACCGGTAAATGAAAATTTTAAGAGCTAGGTCTAGTTTGTTTTACTGTTCTGAGCTAATTGCAAAAAAAAAAAAAAAAAAAAAAATGGAAACGAAAAAGAAAAAGAGCACACCCTTTAATTTTACAAATACAAAGTGACACAATTAATCATAATAAACATGAAATCTCTGACAAAACAAGCATAATACACAACACAACCATTAATACTGAGTAATGACAATGTACAATTTACATGCTTAATTTTGCTTCGTTCTTCCTCAAAAGAAAAAGGCACAATCGTTGAACATTTCATATTTTTATTAGTTGAGACATTAAAAACAAACCTTTATTAATTAAATATTTGTTCTGTCCCAAAATGATTTTGGTATTTTGGAACCGAAGAAACATAACGATATTGTGCTCAAGCGCCGGAGATCTCTATGGCTTTCACTTGCGGCTTCTTCACTTCCACTTTAGGCAGAGTTACAGTTAGCACCCCATTCTCCATAACCGCCTTCATCTCATCCACCTTGGCATTTTCCGGCAACCTAAACCGACGAAGGAACTTTCCGGCGTCCCTCTCGACATGGTGCCACTCCACGTCCTTCTCCTCCCCTCCGGCTGCCGCCGCGTCACGGCTCCTCTCCCCGCTAATCTTCAGCACCTTGCCGTCTTCAACTTCCATCTTCACATCCTCTTTCTTCACCCCGGGAAGATCAGCCTGAAACACGTGGGCTTCCGGCGTCTCCTTCCAGTCAATCCGGGCCGTCGCAAATGAACCTTCCGACGGATTTGGGAAACTCGTCACGTTCTTTAAGAAAGGGCATTTCTCGAACGGATCCCAGATGTCTAATGATAAAGGGTCGAACACATTGGTTCGTCGGTCACCAAAGAAGCTAGGAATGATCGACATTTTTACACGATTATCTTGAAGCTTAGAAAATTGGCGGAGTTAAATTTAGAACTGATCAAAAGAGTGTTTATCCGGATTTGCTTTTTCAAATGCTTGTGATGGTTAAAACAAGTGGGAGGATGTTTCTATATTTATACCAGCATATAAGGGGATGGATAAAATCTAGCGTTTTCCCAGGGCCTTCTTGTAACTTCTTTGCTTTTTTGTGAAAGTTCTACAGCATTCGTTGTTGTTGTGTGTTTGGTGGAGTGGACTTATTTTAATTCCTTTTTATGTATTGGGGTTGGGCTGATGTCGACTGATTACTGTTGTGCAAAGGTTTGCTCTAAATAGTCATCTAAAGAGCATTCCAAATAATAATAAACTTTTTTTTCTCTATACCAACTCTCTAAAATAAATTAGATTTCACTAATTTCACCTTCACCTCCGGTCTACAATGGACACAGAGATGGAAGATTCAGGTCACATAACACAAGATAAGGATAACCCTGCAACCAAGAAGGTTAGAAACAGAGAAGATGAGCTCCCCGATCAACACGACAACTTGCAAATAGAGTCCTCATCTTCACAGCTACCCAAATCACCTTGGAATGAGGGCACCATCTTTCAAAGATCGTCTCTTACAAGGACAACAAAATCAGATCATAAATGGGTTCCACATGACACAGGTTACTGTAGAAGACGAAGATGTTTCCTATGGGGAGGAAGATGGGGTCCCCTCAACCGATTTCTCAAAGCGAGTTCACCGTCAAATGGAGGTGGCCATGACACGCACAATAGCAGTCAAACCACTGGACAAAGAATTTCGCCGAGATAGGCTGTTCAAAAGGCTGAAAGGAACGTGGAAGCCTAAAGGGGAAATCAGTCCAGTTGACATCATTGATGGCTATCACCTTTACAGGGTAAACAACGAGGAAGATTTCTACTCAATCCTACTGAATGCACCATGGGCACTTGATGAGACCTATATCTTTGTACTCCCATGGAGCAAACAGTTCAACACAAAAGAGGAGAACATAAACGGAATTCTCACATGGATTCGTATACCGGGTCTTCCAATTGAGTACTTCCAGGAAGAACTGCTCCGACGCCTAATTAAACCAATCGGCGGATATATAAACGCCGACAGAAACACCCTAGCAGTAGAAAGGGGACAACATGCTAGAATTGCAGTGGAGTTAGATCTTACCAAAGCTCAAAAAGGGAAGACCAAAATAGACGGCATACACTACAACATTGAATATGAGGATCTTCACAAAATCTGCTTTGGCTGTGGAAAGTATGGCCACCTGAAGTCAGAATGCAAAGATTCACTGGTTGGAAACCCACCCAACGGCAGAGACGATGCACGGACTCCAAGTAATCCACCACCGATCACTGGCCAAGAGCCCCAACGAATCTCTTGAATTTCCCAACTGGCTCCAATGGATCCCTTGCAGCAGAAGGGCCCACCTTTAAGAAAGACCCACCACCACAAAAAAATACCCTAATGTGGGTGAATAGAGCCATGCTGTTAAAATTGGGCGGCGCTACAATAGACTACAAGGGTACTAAGGAAATCTCACTAAGCAATCCCAAAAATCTTCTAACCAAAATGTTTCTTTCAACCCCTTTGTAGCTTTACAGGCCCTCGACTAGGACCAAAATGGGATGGCATCAACATCAGGAACCAAGGCCCAGCTCATTTTCAACTGGAACAAAGATCCACCATGCAATGCCTCTATATTTGAACCAACCACCAGCTTCAACCAAGGCCAAACACCCAAATCAGGGACCAAATCAACCACATCAAAAAACACAGGCCCAAAAGCCAAGACTCAACAACCCCCCACCGTTCCATCAAAAAGAAAACCAGAATATCTGGGCCAGGAAAGGACCTAGATCAAGAAAACCTCCACAAAAAACCCCACATAGAACCAACCCCAAGACACCTCAACCCTAGACACACAACCCGTAACCCAAAACTCCACATCCACGAACCAAAACGAACCCCCAGTAAACGCAGCACAAAAAGAACAACAACAAGTCCTTGATGAAAAGAAACATTCGTCGATTTTCATCCCACACCCAAACCCCAACCACAAAACCTAGCCCAAAGAATCTTCAAGAAAAGACAAATCAACTGTCTCACAGGAAACAACACAAGAACTACCACAATTAGGGAAACCACCCGACCCTTGCAAAGCCTTCCACCTGAAGCATAAAGTAAAAATCAAACCACCCAGGGGAGACACCGATTCATATAGCCAAGATGAGGTAATGATATAAGCAGAGGCGAGTGAATAGGAGACATCAGAAAGTGACACTGGGGAATCTACTGAACAGGGCCTCGACATGGAGCTCCTGCCAGAAGCCTGCAGGTAAGCCCAACCCAACAATTTTTCATCACGAGTTTCAAGATACTGTCATGGAACATCCAAGGAATAACTAACCAGGAATCAGTATACGTACTCAAAGATCTAATTAGGCTGTACAAATTTCAAATCCTGATTATAATTGAACCTAAGATAAGTGGCAGAGATGCTGACATTGCTATAAAAAAAACTAGGCTATGAATACTCGCACAGGATAGAATCAGTGGGCTTCTCTGGAGGTATCTGGTTGCTCTGGACAAATGCCATTACAATTCAAATAATTGAGAATAACTGGCAGTTCACCCACTGCAAGATATTTTTCCATGATAACACCTCTTGCTATCTAACTGCGGGGTACGACAGCCCACAAAGGTTGACCAGACTTACACTGTGGCCAGAGCATGATCGCATTGCAGGTAACACCTTTGAATGCTCATCCTAGGAGATTTCAATGCCATATTAGAAGACGCGGACAAGGTTGGAGGAGTGAAGACTGAAGGATGCAAGCATTTCTTAAACTGGTTCAACGATAATGAGATAATGGACTTAGGATACACAGGATGCAGATTTACCTGGAAAAGGAGCTTATGTCACGTGCGTCTAGATAGAGCACTGATAAACAGGAAGTGGGCTGACTTCTTCGACAAATCAAGAGTTGAACATCTTCCCCGGCTAGCGTCAGATCATGCACCAATCTTAGTCCATTTCTTGAAAGTGGATGCACCTGCAAATCACGGGAAATTCTTCAGGTACCTGTCAACTTGGGAATTACATGACTGGTGGACAGATTGGCCAAAAGGCAACTGGTTACAAGAAGCAGATCACATAACAGCCCAGAAACATTTCATACATACAATCGAAGAATGGAAACACAACATATTCGGTGATATACACAAAAGGAAAAAAAGAGCGCTAGCAAGGATTGTAGGTATCCAACGAGCTCTAGCCACACACTCCTCCCCAAACCTACAGAGACTCGAGATCAAGCTGAGGGAGGAATATGAACAAGCAGCAACATAAGAGGAAAGCCTAAGAATCCAGAATGCTAAGTCACTATGGATAGCCCAGGGGGATAGAAATACAAGAGCTTTTCATGCAGTCCATAGACCAAAAAGGGATGCAATTGAATGATGGAACTTGCTGTACAGACTCTGAAATCCTAGGTCATGCAGCAACAAACTTCTTCAAAGGATTATACACCAAAGGAACAGGACACCAAAGTAGACAATATCATGCTAGAGGACTTTTTCCTCCCATCTCAACCCATCTAAACAAAACACTGGGAGCTCACCTGTCGGAAGAAGAAGTGAGGCTGGCAGTGTTTGACATGGACCCCACCAAGGCAGGAGGACCGGATGGCTTTAACGTAGGTTTCTATCAGAACAATTGGAGAATAATCGGTGCCATAGTTTTCGACATGGTCAGATTGGCCTTTGAAACAGGGTGTGTAAATCCAGAACTCAACAAGGCAATGATAGTGCTAATCCCCAAAGTTCACCCACCTGAAAGATTTTAATATCTAAGACTCATCAGCCTCATCAATGTGTCAGCAAAAATAATCTCCAAGGTATTGGCAAATAGAATAAAAAAGATCATGCCATATCTCATATCCCACACACAGACCAGTTTTATCCAGGGCAGGAACATCACATACAGTATCATAACAGCCCAAGAAACAATTCATACCATACGCATGACAACAAGCAAAAAAGGATGGCTGGCAATTAACAGGCCTTCGACTGCATCTGCTGGGAGTTCATAAAAGATACCCTCCAAGATGCAAAAATCCCTACTCTACTATCAGACATAATTCTCAGCCTACTCAACACAGGACAAACCCAAGTTATATGGAATGGAAAAATGGGGACAGAATTCATACCTAGCAGAAGAGTCAGGCAGGGGGACTCCCTTTCACCCTACGTATTTTTGCTATGCATGGAGCGTTTGTCACAAGCAATCAAACACGGAAGTCCAACAAGGCACATGGAAACCCATTCCTTTTGCTAGTGGCCAGGTAACGATCTCGCATCTTTTCTGTGTTGATGACCTTATTCTTTTTGCAGAAGGCACAATGGAATAGGTAGCTGTCATCAGCAACACCCTCCACCTTTTTTGCCAAGCTTCGGGGTAGACAATAAATAATGACAAGTCTGTAATGTATTGCTCACCGAATGTAAATGCCAATCTGGCTAACTCGCTCAGCAATAAACTTGGGATATAACTTGTGGACAACCTAGGTAAATACCTAGGTGTCCTGATAATCCACAGTCGCCTCACCAAACAGTTATACAACCTCTAATCTGCAAGGTGAAGAACAAAGTGAAGCAATGGAATCCACAGAGAATTAGCATGGCAGGAGGACTTACCCTTCGCCAATCAATCCTAGCGGCTCTACCCACATATATCATGCAAACCCAGGTGATCCCCAAAGGAATAAGCGATGAAATAGACAAAATCAGAAGAAATTTTGTCTGGGGGTCCACCCCAGGCGAGAAAAAGCTAAACCTAGTAACCTAGCATAAAATTTGCCAACCTGAAACAAGAGGAGGTCTAGGACTCCGCAAATTGAGGGAAGTGAACATAACTTTTATCCTAAAACTAGCATGAGACATCATAAGTGGGAAACAATGTTTATGGACATCAATATTCAGAGCCAAATACACATCAAACACTAACCCCATGATACATCAAACAATACCAAAAATAGGTTCTCACTTTTGGAGGCAACTAGCACATATCTGGACGATAGCATCACAGGGAATGAAGTGGCTAATTGGCAGTGGAGAAACAGTGTCCTTTTGGAAGGACGTATGGCTTGACATCGACAAACCAATCAGCTTCTATGCCCCACAACCAATCCCAGA